GAATTCATTGTTGAGTTCATTGTTAGTTATGTGAAAATTTGGCGTTTTTTTGGCATTCATCCTTTTTAGCAAGTATTTAAAACAAATTCCCGTATGGAAAAAACGGAATGAAAAGTGAAAATATTTTGTCACACGCATGTTTTTAGGATATTTTGTTTGATAATTACAATGCTAAATTGTGATACTTCATGCTTTGCTCGTATTCGATCATTTTGGTCTTTCTATACTCGTTGTTTTAGTTTGTTAGACACGTTCCGCCGTCTCGCCATACTCAGTAGTGTTTCAGCTAAAAGAAATTAAAGAAAAAGATTTGAAAATTTGAAGAAAGTGGATTTACTGCGCTTCGAATCGGTGGTCGGTTGGAGAGAACTTACGCTCGCTGCTGCCTTATCGAAAAGTTCGTCAATATTTCAGAAATTTAATATCAACGTCCGACCAAATTATTTTGTTAACATTGAAGATGACGAGAAACCGACACGCATCTGACTGACAAAACCTGCGAGGATAGGCTGACTGAAATGATTGAAAACAACCGAAAGATTATGACATTATTCGGCCTGCGTGTTAAAAAGCATGCAGTTTTACACTTTGTGGAAATCCAATATGTATTTCCCCGTATTTTCTTCGGGAAGAGCTTTTTTATACCACTTATTTCAGGCATTCGTGCATTGCGCGCTCTCTCTGAATCGAGTCCGCTAGGGTTTGTCTCTTTCGTTTCACGGATGCCGTATCAACCTTGTTAACCAAAGCCCTTTGAGCCCTTAACTCGCGATTCATCAAGAAATTAGTCGGCGGCCAAACTTCTCAAACCCCGGCCGGCCATAGTCTCCTCGCCCCTACCCCGTTTCCGACATTTTAACCTAATTCCTCTGAGAGGTTTACTTACCAAAGATGGTACAACATTGTTCACTGGTCTCGAAACTGTGTCTCAACTTTGGCGTCGGTTAACATGACTTTACAGGCGATTAGACTTCGGGGTGGATAGATTGATAATTAAAGTCAATCTATCAATCCTCAACTCGCTCTTTTGATAGTCTTACACCAGAATTCTGAAGTTCTTTAGCCATAAATACACTGACAGGCAAAAAATTCCACTGTAATATAACTTGATTTGTATATATTTTTATACATTAAGCAAAGTTTCACGTTGTTAACGTTTAATAATTGAGTCTGTGTCTAAAAAAGTTAAAAAAGTGTAAATTGCTAAGAAAAATGAAAAAAAGACGGAAAGATAAAATTTGTTTTTATTACATTTTTAGCTAATATTTCAATATCGCGTATTTCTTTCTCTTGCCTTAATAACATCTCGAAGACGCCTCAGCATACTTTCTACCAGTTTGGAAATGTCTCTTTGCTGGAAGTTAGACCATTCTTCACGAAGAGTCCTTTCAAGATCGTGGAGTGTATCAAGAAGTGGCGGATGCTCTTATTCGTCTTTTGAGGTTATCTCACAAATATTCGATGGGGTTCAAGTCTGGAAATCGGACTGGCCAGGCTAAGACCCTGATGGTATGCTTTTGAAGGTATATTTGTATTAATGCGAGCGACGGGCATTATCGTGCATTAGCATAGGATTGTCGTTGATTTCATCGAGGATAGGCAACGCATGATGTTCCAAAATTTCATCCACTTAGCAAGTAGCCGTCAAAGACCCTCCTCGAACAACACCAACTCTGTGCGACTCCCCATTGAAATCCCGCCCAATAAACCAAACATTTTACATGCTCAGTAAATAGCAAAAAGGACGAAAAAAGGTTGTTGATACAGTGAAATACATTTACTTTACCCATGCATTGTTTATACACTGACAGTCAAAAAATTCCACCCACTTGTAATGTAACTTGATTTGTATATATTTTTATATACTAATCAAAATTTCACATTTTTAACGTATAATAATTGAGTCTTTGTCGAAAAAAGTTTTAAAAAATGTAAATTTAAATGTAAATTGCTGAAAATGAAAAAAAGACGGACAGATAAAATTTGTTTTTATTAGATTTTTAGTTAACATTTCAATATCGTATTTCCTCCTCTTGCCTATCTCGAAGACACCTCGGTACACTTTCTACCAGTCTGGAAATATCTCTTTGCTGGATGTTAGCCCTTTCTTTCAAGATCGTGGGGTGTATCAGGAAGTGATGGACGTGCTCTTATTCGTGTTTTGAGGTTATCCTATAAATGTTCGATCGGGTTCAAGTCTGGAGAACAGACTGGCCAGGCTAAGATCTGATGTCATGCTGTTGAAGGTACGTTTGTACTATGCGAGCGACATGTCGACGGGCATTAACGTGTATTAGGGTGTGTAGGGTTGTCGTCGATTTCATCGAGGATCGAGGCCACTCTCCAATGAAATTCCTACCCAAAACCATCACTGAGCTAAGTTGAAAAGGTTGGCTCGGAAAAATTACAAGCTTCGTACCTTTCATTTCGCCTTCTCCACACACTCTTTCCCGCCCATCTGGAAGCGTAGAACAAATCTACACTCATTTGTAAAAAGTACAGCAGATCAATCGTCTAAAGACCAATGAATGTGTTCTCGAGCAAATGCGAGCTGTGCAATTCTGTGTGTTCTGGTCTATTCTGGTCCTCTTACGGGGCGAAAAGCCATCGGTCCATATAGATTTTATCTTCTTCGAGCAGTGCGTTCAGAAATTTGGACACCTCGAACTTCCTGGAGCTGATGAATCGCTTGAACAAAAACTGTAAGGTGACGGATTCGCAAAATTCTCAAAGTCAACAAAACGGTCATCCTGTGGTTCAGTTACCCGAGGGCGTCCAGAACCGGGCCTTCTATGGCAGGGCCCAGCTTCTCGAAAGCGTCTACCGGCGTCTCGTAGAGTTTCGAACGGAACTCCGATGGTTATAGCTGCATACCAAGGGCACTCTCAACACGACACAGAGTCATGTCACATCTACACAGAAATCAAAAACTTTGAGCCCTGAAGATGATCTCAATAAAAATCGAAATGTTGGCACGATAAAGAAAATGTTTTTCTAAACCTACGTCGCACTATACCGCCTCTCACGATTTCCAAATAATCATTAATTAACGGTCACTAAATACCACTTTAAATACGATTTTAAATTTCGTAAAAAGTAAACATTGAAAAATCCTTTATCCTTGTTTTCGGCTTTGGATTAATTATGGATTAAGTGTATTTACCTCTAATTGATATTCCCAATTTAAAACATAGCACAAACAAATATTTATTGATAAAAACAATGAGACAAATTAAGGGCAGACTTTTCTTTTATCGAAAAAATGAAAAAAATCAATTGGGTAAAATTTTTTGCCTATCATTACACATAAATATGTTTAGATTGTATCAGAAACGAGGCCCTTGTCTCGACGTTATACAGTACACTTCCTACCATTTATATATACATTTTTTTTAAACATTACCAACGATACGTTGATTTGACCTCACGTTCTGTTTGCACATCCGACACTGTTGTCAAATTACGTGTTAGCTCTTTTTGCATGTTTGTACAGATTGCTTGATTCTGTACTGGCCTCGAAACAGTTTCGAACGTGCTATTAATTGCAAAGGACAACATACAACCAATTATAAGGGATGTTCACGTTCACAAACAATTACAACTAAGTTCTGATCAAATGCCAAAGTGGAAAGTAAACAGTTCACACATTAACGAAAAAGCGAGAACAAAAATTACAAGCAATTTTAATAACGGTACCAATCCGATTTAATGGATTATTTTTAAATATGTGGGTTACAAGCTCATAAAATCTACCAACAAGTATGCTGTACTTTTTTCTTTGTCTTTATGGGCACTACTAAGTTAGAGATCAGGGATGCTGTTATCGTTAACATACCTTCAAAATGACATCTCTATTTAGATTAACAAAGTGATAACGTAAAATTAGGAAGTTAGAGATCAGGAATTCATCAAAACAAGTAAGTTTTGTAACTTATGCCAAGTAAGTTATCCATTGTTATCTGATAATTATTGTGTTACTTATAAATTATAATCGTTGTGATTACTTGTAGAGCCCTGATGAAGACCTCAATAAAGGTTGAAAGCTTGACATAAGTTTCAAAACTTACTTGTTTTGATGCATCCCTGATCTCTAACTTACTGGTGATATCCTGACGGTCGATTCATCCTTCCTTCTTCATGGGCATTTACCATGTACTTTCGTACGCTAGAGAAACTATCGTAGGTTTTATTTCATTTGTTTGCGGTTCATAATTTCACGTTATCACTTTGTTAATCTAAACAGAGATGTCATTTTGAAGGCACATTTACGATGACACCGAATAATTTAAGGTCAGATGTCAATCTAAGCAGCAACGAAATTTTGGACCGAAAACGGATCCAGCGAAGTGATGAAGAGTCCATCAATTCAAGTGTTCACAGACGTACAGAATAACATCAACCACCAATCTCTTTTTTTAGATAATTAATCGTTATTTTCATTCTGTTTTGAGATTTCAACATACTTCTTGCAACGTTCATGCCTGTTTTCTGCATGATTTACCTGCCAGTTTGACAGTTCCCGTCGCTTTTTCTAATGTCTTGATTTTCCATGAGAATGTTATCGCTTGTGCTTCCAATCTGGACTAACACATAAATAAAATGACTTGCTATTTATGTTTTATTCTAATAAAAGTGCAGATGGGAACGAACGTTCCTTCACTGTTTCAAAAAATATGATTTGACTGAAACAATATTCTTGTGCAGAATTACGTAAACCACCTTTACCTTTACAGATGCTCTGCCTTCAAAGATATTCTGATCACATGGAGAACGTCTATAATTCGTTGAAGAACGTGCAAATGAATGTAACACTTTTTTTTAAGAGTGGAAGAGACGAGTTTGTAAAAATCAATTGCTCCACAAAACGGATTCTTCGACAAAAACGTTTAACAAATTCGCCGATGTGTAGCAAGTTAAAGGCTAAGGGTGTATTTTGTTTTCAAATAAATTCCCAAAAATTGAGTCACCTGTTAAAAAAATAATTATGAAAATTCAGAATATTTTAATACTTCGTTGGAAGATACCTGGCTCCGACGGCTTGAAAGGCCGAGAGGGCTTTCACAATCGGATAATAATGACTTTTAACACTTCGGATTAGAGGGTTGTGTTAATAGTTATAAATGACACCATTACAACTGTCTGGCTTAGATATACTAAAAATTTCGCTTTTTTGCGGTACTTGCCCTCAACCGTAGCACGATTTCCGGCCGTGGAACACCAAGCACAGGGACGAAACACAGACCAGTGCTAGAGAACGTCAGAACGAAATTTCCATGTTTTTCTTGAACCGAGGCGAAAATGCACGTAGCCACGTCGACACGCAGACGTTTGCAGAAATAGGAATCGAACCCCGAGACGAAAACGATCGCCTTTGTAAGAAAAACTATTCGGAGAGTCAGTGAGCTAAATGAAAGGACAAAACAAAAGGTAACGAAACATAAATCGGTACTTTGATAAGAAATTGTCACTATTAAGAAAACAGATCCACAAATCGAACAACCTGTGTGTGATGTTGACACCTTTCATTGTTTTTGCAGATTAAACTATAACATTAACTTTTCAGTATTTCCTGTAATGCACAGTATTATAAACTAAATTCAATTCCAAAATCGCAAAAACAATTTCGAATAATAAACATTATCCTGGCTATATTTTACCAAAACAAATGCACATCCTATATTCAAAAGCTTTTAAAACATTTTGAACATTTTTCATACTACGAGGTAATATTTTTTAAGAAATAACTATTTGATATAGTTCAAACATATTTTAATTTGAAAAACTATACATATGTATATTGCTTTAAAAGAAGAGAAGCTCTATATATTGGGTTGTCCGGAAAATAATGCAGGATTTTAAGTTTTCATTAAAAAAAATCTATATAAAATATTCTGTTTACGTTTACAGGATTACTCATTTGTATGAATGTCAACACTTATTAATCCTCTTCCAAATGATATTGTTTGTTTACCTCTGTAGCATTCCGCTACTTGGAAATAATTCAGTCATCCTTATAATGTCAAAGCGAGAATTTCGTACGATTTTCTTTTACGAGTTTAAACTCGGCCGAAGCGGAGCCCAAACGGCTAGAAACATTAACCAAGTCTGGGGCGAGGGTTGTGTTAATGAGTGCACTGTGCAAAGGTGGTTTAAAAAATTTCGGGAGGGAGATTTCAGCCTTGAAGATGAAGAAGGTCGTGGAAGGCCTTCCTCTCTTAATGATGATGTTCTGCGATCAGTGGTGGAAGAAAACCCCAAAACAACTGTTCGAGAACTTGCAGAGCAACTCAAAGTCAGTAAAACGACCGTCGCTGACCACCTCAAGGCGATTGGAAAAGTGAAAAAACTCGAAAATTGGGTTCCACACTCATTAAACGATCGCCAAAAAAATCAGCGCTTTGATGTTTGTGCATCACTTCTTTGTCGAAACAAAAATGACCCATTTCTGGCCAGAATTGTTACATGTGACGAAAAGTGGATTCTGGACAGTGGCTCGACAAAGGAGAAGCTCCAATACATTTTCCAAAGCCCCCAACTCATCAAAAAAAGGTAATGGTTACGGTATGGTGGGCTTCATTTGGTTTAATACACTACAGCTTCTTAAATCCTGGCGAAACCATCAATGCTGAATCATACTGTAACCAAATTAATACCATGCATCAGAAATTGGCTGTAATGAAGCCCTCTTTGGTCAATCGGAAAGGGCCCATTTTGTTGCATGACAACGCTCGACCACATGTGTCACGTGTAACGTCACAAAAATTATTGGAGCTTGGCTATGAAACTTTGCCTCACCCACCCTACTCTCCGGACCTCTCGCCTACTGACTACCATTTTTTTAGACACCTGGACCACTACTTACAACACATAATATTCAAAAATCAAACGGAACTGGAAAATGCATTTATTGACTTTATCAATTCTAAAAATTCTGAATTCTACTCAGACGGAATTAATAAGTTACCAACACATTGGGAGAAATGTATTGAGAGTATGGGAAATTATTTTGATTAAAGAACATTGCTTTAAAGTAACTAGTTTCTTTTTTTTTGTTTAATACCAAAATCCTGCATTATTTTCCGGACAACCCAATATTTGTTATGGAAACAATATTTTCATTTGAAAAAATGAATTTTTGTTCCAACAATGTTCAATTTGATTGAGAACAACTATTGTTGATTTGCTAAAAATTTATTTGGGAAAAGTTCATTTTGATATGGAACAAACTATATGTTGATCTGGAAAAAAACTAATTTAGTTTGGAAAAAGTTGCATTTCAAACAGTTGGATTTTGAAAAGTGTATTTTGGTTCGGAAAAACTGTATTGTAATTCGGAATAACAGAATTGTGATTAGGAAACAATTAATTTTGGCTTGGAAAAACGGAATTTTGGTTTAGAACAACAGTGTTTAGATATGGAAAACTATATTTTGATTTGCTAAAATTTTGGTTTGGAACAATTGTAACAAATGGCCTTTTTTTCAATAAAAACCGTACCACGTGGGGGATATGACCTCTGCTGATGCGGGAAAACTGTATTTTGCTTTAGGAAAAATCAATTGGTCAATTAACAATAATTGTACTTTGAATTGCAAAAAAATTCTATTAGAGCTGCAAAACATGTATTTTCGGAAAAAACATTTTTTTCACTTTTTTAGTTTGGTTTGAAAAAGGGCAATTGTATTTTGATGTGAAAAACATTGTTTTAATTGGGAACAATTGAATTTTGCTTCCGAAAAACTATATTGTGGTTTTGAACGACTGAATTTTGATGTGGAAATCCTCGATTTTGGTTTAGAAAAACTGTCTTTAGATTTGTAATTGCATTTTGATTTGAAATCCTTTAATTTTGTCAGGGAAAAATTAAAAATAATAAATTTCTGTTTGGAATAACTATATTTTGGTCTAGAAAACCTTTGTTTTGATTTCGTATTTGAAAGAATTTGATTTGTTTAAAAAAATCTTTTTAATCTAGAAAAATATATGTATTTTTATTTCAAACAGGTTCAATGTAATTTATAAGTATGATTTGATAGTAAAAGTAAAAAATTATATGATGATTTTAAGCTTTTTTTTGTTTCATTGGAAACTTTAATTACATCTGGGAGAAGAGACATATACCATCTCATTTATTGTTTCATAAGGGAAAGTTGCATTGAGGTGTAATTCAAAGGTAGACATGTAACATGGGGCGCGTGCTTCGGCTCGGGTCTCTTCTCACCTGCCGCGCTAAGTGGTGGTGGTATCACGTTTTAAAAAATTATATATATAAATTAAGTCAACTTCGCTGGTTGATTCCTTTTTAAAAACTTTATTTGCGAAATACAGTTGACAAAGAATAATTAAGTTTACCAATTACAATGATGTGACTTCACTGATTTCTAGGCAAGGAATGTTCTTACATTTTAAATTATAAACAATTACGTTTCCCTGGTGGGAGAGAGTGCTGATTGCAATTCTGAGAATGCCACCTGCATCTTANTTTTGAATGTTGTTTTGGTTATCCTCAATGTGCAAAATTAAGTTGTCAAATTTTTCCTTGTCCGTATTATCTAAATTTCCGGTAATAAATTTTATGATTGTACCTAGTCCGTTAATAAGTCCTCTTTTATTCCTAATCGTTTTATGAATAGTTATGTGGTTGAGTTTTTCCTCAATAAGCGATTTTGAATAATTTATTATGTTGCGGACTGGTAGTGTTTGTTCTACAATACTCTTGTTAAATTTGATGTATTCTGTGATTTTGTGATATTGCTTTTGTAGAATATAGATTTCTGAAATTAAATCTTTTAAATCATAGTAATGCACCATAGTATGTTTTGAAATTTCTAATCTCGCGTTCCCTAAACTGACTGGTAGAATTCCGTTATTGCGCGATACGTCCTTTATGTCGTAGGCGAAGCTGGAGGCGAACGCCGCGAGTACCCTGCAACATCATCATTCTTCTTGTGAAATTGATAAGGAAACTGTCTTGGACGTTTTATATTGGATAAATGAATGTTCGGTTTAGTGTTATAATGAGATTTTTCTATTAGAGCTGTTTTTAAATCAGGGTTTTTTGCTTTTACTTTTTCTCTTTTAAATCGTAGTCTCAACTTATTCTGTTTTTGTTTGTTTTTGACATAAACTATGTCTGGTATTTCTGGTAATTCTGTTCTTGCCAAGTTTCTCTTATTAATTTTAGTTTATATGCTTCTGCATATTTAGAAAATGGGTCAATGATTGTCAAAAATTTTGTGTTTCGTATTAACATCTAACAAATTTTAAAATTCATTGTGTAAAAATGAAAATAATATTATTCATAATTTCTTAGAGCAAGACATGTTTAATGATTAACATAAATCATTTAAAAAACCTACAAACAGTTGCATCTAGACTAAACTGTTTTAAATTGAACTTTTTGGAAGATTTGAATAATACATTTAACAACTATTAACTCTGATTTAAAAAAGAAAGAAAGAAAATATAATTATTTCCTAGAAATTGTTAATGTATTTGTACAATGGTACTAGAAAAAAATTAAATTTGTAAGATGTAATAATACAATATTCCAGTCAGAAAAATGTTGAAAATTACTTATTGTGGAAATTGGAAAATACAATTTGGAAAACTTCAAGCTATATTAAAGCTTAGTCAATAAATGCTGAAGGCACTTTATTTAATCTTAAAGTAATTAAATAAATAAGAAATAATGAAAAAAGAAAAATAAACCACATTTACATTACTGTAATTTTAAAATGTAGTCTAAATAAAACCTTGTGGTCCGAAAAGATACAAATATTTGAGATCAGTTGAAGTCGAAAGCACAGATTACTATTGAATTATGCTTTAACCTCATCTATGCATTTGAGAATTGACTGAAGATCAAATTTAAAATTGCACCAATGCGAAATACCATTGTTTTTAATTGACTCACTCAATGTTATTTCATTAAATTTCAATTGAATTTTTCCATCAGTGTCATTTCTCAATTTTAGGTCGTTATCTGAAACTTTTTCATTTTCGTTTATTGGAACGAGATGATACTCGGAGTCAGCTAAAGAATCAAATTCTATTTTTCTCTTGACTCGTCTCAGTTTGTGCCCTCGGCCAATTTTGTCGGCTGTAGCCGAGGCCATGTTTAAAGGTTGACCTGAGCTACTCCTTTGGCTCTGTTCTAAAGCTTTCAGGAAACTGGCTAACTCAATAGATTTTGGGATTTTATAGTACAAAATTTTAATTTCCTGAAAAGGGGTACTTAATATATTCGTTTTAAAATCTATGCGAGCATTGAGTTTTTGAAGATTATCTAGTCCAATTAGGATGTCGAAATAGTTATGAAAATTGAAGATATTGAATTTTAAGAAGAGATTTTCCATATTAAATAGTTCAGTACAATTTATAACAGTGCTATACCTTTCAAAAGAGGATCCATGTGCTGTTGTAATTTTGAATGGTTCGTAGTTAAATCTTGCGTTAAAGTGGGTCTTTGCAATTTTAGGGTTGATGAAAGATTTTGTGCTACCTGTATCAATAAGGATTTTTAGATTTCCGTGTGGAAACAAAATATACGGTAGTTTACTTTCGGTAGTGTGGTTNAATTAAGTCAACTTCGCTGGTTGATTCCTTTTTAAAAACTTTATTTGCGAAATACAGTTGACAAAGAATAATTAAGTTTACCAATTACAATGATGTGACTTCACTGATTTCTAGGCAAGGAATGTTCTTACATTTTAAATTATAAACAATTACGTTTCCCTGGTGGGAGAGAGTGCTGATTGCAATTCTGAGAATGCCACCTGCATCTTAGCATTGCAATCTGATAATATCCGATAACTTATATATATATATATATTTGATACATGGGTAATATAATACCATAAACCCACAAAAAAAAGCTTTTTTGGTTGAAAAAAGTTCAATTTGATTGATCAAAGATCAATTTAATCTGAAAAAAGTATATATAGGAACAACACTTTAAATTTAAATGTATTTAAAATGAATATAAGAAATAAATTTTAAATTGATTTATTTTATTTAAAATTAAATATGTCAGTGGAACCATCATTTAAAAAAAGTGAAGTACATTTATTCCAAATTAATCGTCGCGGCGACATTTTCTGAGAACAAAATTGCAAATAAATTGTTATCATTTTCACTTTGTTCGCTGGTACAAAGTTGTTACTACCGTGCTAAAAATCGACAAAACGAAAATAACATTACCAGAATGAAAATGATGCTCAAAACATAAACAACGTTGTCGCTTCTAGTTCGACGTTAATATTTCTCGACATGCATACCTATTTGCACAATTTATAGCTGTATAATAAAAAATAGCAAAAAGGAGGGAAAATTCAAAAGGTGTGGTTGAGACGGGAGGTTGGTGTCCGAGTGGATCGAGGTCATGATAGCTCAAGTTACCACAGCGGCGTATCAAGCCGAAGATCGTGGGTTCGAATCCCGCTCGTGGCATTGACTTTTTTATCTCATCTAAAAACCTTAATTAATTGTATGATATTAATTGGTCAAGCGGACCACGAAACTAGTGAATATAATAAATAATATCAGTGGGCGAATGCCATAAATATGATCATGAACTTAAATTGTTAAATTGTGGAAAAATGGCTTAGGACATACTTCGTAATTAATTATATGTAAAAAAAATTGCGTTTTCGAATCGGAAGGGTATTATTATAATGAAAAAAGGGATTTTCGGGGTCAAGGTTGATCACAAGCACGCGTTTAAAATATTTATACATAGGAGAAAACTGCCCAAAAGAAATTTTTAAATTTTTCACAATTGGTGATTTTGTGAAAAGGCCACCTTCCAAATTACAACCGCGGAAATCAATTAAATGTTACGTGCTCCCGACCAAAGATCGTAGATTTATTGACTCTCGTACTGTAGGCTGACTGGAGGAAAAGCCATTTATATGTATCGTGTGGATAAATCAGTAATATGCAAATATAAATGTTACGAATTATTACCTGCGATTTTAGATAATACCTTTATCTCGGATTATATGTTACTCCCGGTCTAATTTTATGTTTCACCTAGTTCTAAATAAAGCTTTTCTTAGAAATTTCAGTGTTGTATTGACTGTTGACGGAAGGATTCAATGTCCTTTGGGCAAACTCCCTATTTCTATTTTAATATGCGTGCTTTGTTTAAATAAATCTTATATGGATGAATGACTATCAGAATAACTTAATTTGAAAAGCGTTTAATAAAATAATATATAATAACTAAGAATTCGTAACATTTACCTTAAAGCTAGGTTTTCTCGCTAAATGTCACTAGAACATTGGGAGTTAATTCTGCTGACAAAAAGTCTCGATTTTATCAGGGTGACTAATAAAAGTTTTCGTATGGCAAGGTTCAAAGTATTTTTAATTTTAGTTACACATTTTATTTACACAAGCCCATGTTCAGGTCATAATAATTCATACTGATCAAGTGTATGCTAATTTGTTCTGCACTTTTTCATCATTGTTCCAAATGAAACATATGATGGTTCTTATGACGAAATGAGCATTTTTATCAAAAAAAATTTTTTTAAGTCTATAAAATACATTTTTCTCCCAATTGGCAAGTCAAGTTTTTCATAATAGAGTATATATTTCTTCATAGAGTCCATTTATTGATGAACCTGCAGTCTGGTTTTTCTGATTATCCTGATCGCACAATGAGTGAAGACCTGTGTAGTCTGGTTGTTTCCTATCATCCTGATCAAGTTTATGCCAATTTGTTCTGTACTTTTTGTGCCATCACTGTGGCCAATGTTTTTTTAAGTCTCTATAAAATACATTTTCTCCCACTTGGCAAATCATGTTTTTCACAATAGAGTATAATATTTCTTCGTAGAGTCTATTTATTGATGAACCTGTAATCTGTAAACCAATTTTCTGATCATCCTGACCATGTTTGAGTCAATTTGTTCTGTTTATTTTACTCTGTTCCAAATTAAAAACTTGTTACCAAATGAATATTTTTGATTTTAAAAAAATTTCTATAAAATTCTGAAAATGTTCTTTCTTCCCTATAAAATATATTTTTTCCCAATTGGCATGAAGATTTATTCCTAATAAAATAACAAAATAACTAATTCAACATTGTGATCTTGTGAAATTCGCCATGGTGTCTGTGGAGTGATGAACTTGTAGTCTGGTCCTTTCCGATCATCGTGGTCTGTCAGGAGCATTGTGGTATTATTTGGCATTGGTATTGGTTGGTCTGTGTGTTATTTTCTCCATTGTGTCCTCATATAAGTGGATAGAAGAAACACATCTAACAGACCATAACTGCAAGGAAAGGCAAACCAGGATGTTGCAACAACCAATACAGGGTGTCCTTTTTAGGTGGCCCAGTTGAATTTCTCTCAACTGAACTTCTGAAACAATGGACGCTATAAGAAAAAAATACGTGTTTAATAGTTTTTAGTCCAGTTTCAAATTTTTACCTTTTTTTGGAGAAAAATTTCATAGAGGACCTCAGGTCCAGTTCAATTTCAAAATTTCAAATATGACTCTATACATCCTGACACTTCATTTTAAAGGATTTTTTACGCTGAAAATAATGGTGCAATCGGATTTTAAATTGGTATAAAAATGACAAAATTATGGAAAAAAAACATCGGTAGTGTAATTTCGAAGAGGAGCTGAATATTTATTTTATTGAATGTTCGTGAAAATCCGAATTCCTCTCTCTGAAATGTTGGAAGGGTTTTAGGTTTTTCAAAAATACAATTAGAAATGTACTCTGGACTTACAATTATAAGCCGTATCGCTTTCATCTTGTCCAGGGACTTTGAGACTCTGATTATGACAGGCGTCTAATGTTCCTTGCACATGTTGATTTGAGAAGCTGAAGAAAACGTTTTTCCTCTTTCTTCCTATGGACTGATGAATCCACGTTCACCTCTAATGGTATACTAAACCATTGGAATTTTCGAACGTGGACAGAGGAAACCCGGAAATTTCGTATTCTTGTCATCATCAGGTGGTTCACAGTATCAACGTTTGGTGTGTGCTTGTCAGAAATAAATTAATTGGGCTTTATTTCTACAAAAACAATTTAAATGGTGCTCAGTACCTCAATTTTTTGACATTGGTTTTACCACCACTATTAGATGATGTTCCTCTGTAACAACGACAAAGGATGATTCTCCAGCCTGATGGATGCTGTGCACACAATTATTCAAATTGTCACTTCCGGGATAGTGGATAGGACCACATGGCCTGATCTGTTGGTCTCCTCAGTGACCCGATTTAACTCCATTTGTCTATTTTCTGTGTGGTCATTTAAAAAAAAGTATCTATGCCAATCATAACCCAGCGACCTCAGTTGAAGAACTGCGGCAAAGGATAGAAAATGCTTGTCAATCCACACTTCCACTGGCTTTGAGCACCAGTAAAGAGTGGTTAAAAAGAGCAAATCTTTGCATCTTTACGCAAGGCAGGCAGTTCGAACATGATATCTGATTAATAAATAGTAAACCAAATGACTTTTTTCAAACTTTTTGTCATAACTTTGTCATTTTTTGACCAATTTAAATGTCGATTGCACCATTGATTTCGGCGCAAAAAAATCCTTTAAAATAATGTGTCAGCATATATAGGGTCATCTTTGAAATTTTGAAGTTGAATTGGATCTGTGGTACCCTATAAATATTTTCTCCAAAACAAGGAAAAATTTGAACCTAGACTAAAAAATATTAAACACTTTTTTTATAGAATCTTTGGTTCAAGAGAAATTCAGCCGGGCCATCTAAAAAGGACACCCTGTATATCAATAAATTTGTGCAAATGACTAGCTCACACAAGTATGTAGAACTTTAAGATAAATGGTATGGAAGTACTAAAATTTATTGAGTCTAACTTTTTTTAAAAAAAGTGCTTTTCTTAGTTCTTTAGTTCAGTTGACTCAATCCTCATGTTTCCTTGTTTATTTGATTAATTTTCTGCCGAAGAGAGCATTTTTTTATAAGTGTACTTATCCATGAAAGCTGATATCTTGAGCTTTAGTCCATAAACATCCACAACTCATCTAATTGATGAGCCATACAGTAACTTAGATCTTATTACTAGTCAATATGACATTTTTTAGAGCTTTGCCTAGGGTTCTTCTTGAGGCTGAGATTGACTCCGCTGATATAAGTAAAAATATTAGTGTAGTTTGATGAGAAAAGCTAATAGTTCTGTTTGTTAATAGCATTGTTTTGTTACTTACTACCTTACATTTTTTGCTTAAAATTCAGTGAGAAGCATAATTATATAAAATATCTAACTAATTAAAATATACATAAGAATTAAAAGCTAACAGTAAAATTGGTTTGATGAGTTATAAAAAAGTTAAACACATTACATCTTCATTATTTCTCTGGGAACACAAGATTTATGAGAGTAAAAACTCCATAAATGTCACATTGTGCAATCTCACTTTATTCTATTTAAATCGAGGGGGAGGGAAACGACAAATTCAAATGTTAAAAAAATATTTTAATTACAAATATATACAAAACTTGGCAAATTTAGTCTAGTCGGAACTGTCAGAGCTATTACTGTCTGAGTCACTAGATGTGCTGGATTCTGAGGAAGAAGAAGAAGAAGATGACGATGATGATGACGAGGAGGTTGATGATGTTTCCGACTGGGAATGTTTACGAGACCTCTTCTTTTTCTGTGATATTTTATGCATTTTCGATCTTTTCTTTGAACTTTTCTCTTTTTTCACTGAAAAAACAATAAAAACATTATATACAAACAACTATGTAGATGAAAATTAAATGGAAAAACAAACAATAATTTTAAAACATTTACAATTTATATAGTCAATTTTTAAATATAATGCAATGTATTCTTAAGGGATTTTTTTATTTATTATTTAGTACATTTTATTTATTCAGTATTTAAAAGTTACTATATTTCTAACCTTTTCCTTCACTTTTATCGTGGCTTTTTTCTTTTTTGAATTTCTTGGGTTTTTTTGGTGTGTCAGTCTTTTTCCTTTGAGGAGACACTGGCTCGTCCTTTACTTTGATAGATTGGTCATAATGGACGATCGGAGTCTCTTCACAACCTTCTTCTTGTAGTTTCAATGTTTCTGCAGTTATGTTTTTCGTCTCTTTGGGGGTTTTGTAATCTAATACATGATCAACACGAATTGACCTTCCCAGTATCTGTAATACAATAACAAGATTCTGTAGAAAAACTCAAATACAACTGATTTCAATGATAAGTCTAATACTAAGAATGTTTTGACTCGAGTACCTTAATCCCATTGAGATTATCTACTGCTAAAACTGTACTCCTTTGATCTTCATAACATAGAAAACAAAAGCCTTTTTGTTTTCCAGTCGCTTTATCTCTTACCAAATTAATATTTACAACTTCTCCAAATCTAAAAATAAAATATGTTATTATTATTATTATTATTATTAATAGTAGTAGTAGTAGTAGTAGTAGTAGTAGTAGTAGTTGTAGTAGTAGTATTATATTGTATGTATATAATTTATGTATGTATTTATATATACGTACATATCATGTATGTATTTATATATACATACATGTATATACATACATACATACATATATACACACACATTACATAAATACATATACATAAATAAAATGTTGATAAATTTCATAAACAGTTTGCCAATTATGTGGATTTTAATTTACCTAACACAAATAAATAATACTAACTGTGAAAAAATACATATGACGTCTCCCTCTGTTAAGTCATACGGTAATCCTCCAATAAATATCCAAGCGCTATCCTTGTATTGATCATGCCATGATGATTTTGAAGGATTTTTCAATTCCTGCTCGCTTAGCTTGAGCACATTTTTCATATTTCTGTTTAAAAAAAAATTCATAAAATGTTTTTCCATTTAAAAAAATAAATAAAAATAAAATAATTACAAATTAAGCCTACATTATAAACAGTAAATGATAGGGCTCAATTAAAGAAATTAAACATTCTAGAAAATGCATAAAATTAAAAAACAATCATATATTTTTCAAGAATAATAAATTCAGTATTAAATAGTGTAAAACATTTACATGGCTGACTTTGTTATACACCCCAACACCATCATTACCACTTATACAGATGACACCACAATTATCTTCTAACCCGAATCCGATCCAACCAACATCCAACACAGCTTATCAAAGACTGGTGCAAAAAAAATGGAGGGCAAGACTGAATGAGGTAAAAAATTCCTAGTGTAGATTTAATACATTGGCACAATCTTGCCCTCCATAACAACAAGGAGAGCTACTGACACATAGGACTGTGCCTAGCTAGCAACTGATGTGAAATCCTCACACAAGAATTAAGATACAAAACTTAAAAGAAGACTTTTACAACTAAAAAGACTTCTAGGACTGATATCTGTTTTAACCGTCAAAACTCAACTAACTTAATATACACCCTTAAAAACACCTCCATAAAACCCTCAAACCTCATACCAACTCTCAAGTCCAACACCTTTCAATTCGAGCCTCCCTGATAATTTCTAAGATGCCTGAAGCACCAATGGCCTCACGATTTCCTCCCTAGTGAGAAAACGAATAGAGTTGTGATAGATATGTAAACCATGGACTACTTCTCCACTATAATAATGTTATAACACAAAATGTATGAAGACAACGAAATTTCATATAGAGTTCTTGCACTATTGTGCACATAAGAATTTTTTCTTTTTTTTAATTTGGAAAAAATTTTCTTGTAGTAAAGATGGGCGGATTAAAATTGTCAGAAATTACCTAACTGGAAAGCTGTCATCACAGATCTTCCTCAATAATTTAGTCACATCTTGATCCTTCTTTACGATCAATATATTGTTTGTAATGCAAAATAGCTCAATTTCAGAACAACTAACGATCCTATGTGTGAAGGGCCTTGTATTGTAATGCATACAAAAAAAAAAAAAAACACCGTCGCTAATTAGTGGCATAAAAGGAACAACTTCTGATAACACATCTGTAATGCATCGGGCAGCTGTTAGGGAACCCTCGATGAAGATCAAGTTTGTGCACCATAACACCACTTTTCCATAGCTTTTCCTGAGTGAAAATGACAGATATGTGTGTGTCATAGAGTGATAACTCTCCTGTACTTCCCCAAACCCTCTCTCGACCTCCAGAAGACAAAGCCCTTGTCCCATCCGAAAACAAGGTTTTAGTACAATCTTGCTCAGACCAACTGATACGACTTCTTGTGAAACTTAACCAAGCAGTTCTGAGACTTGTCAGAAGTTCTGGCCTTCTCCCGAGTAATCCAGCTTCTGAAAGTCTTCACCTTACAATGCATAAACTAACATAACATTTCTAACTTTTTGAAGTCATTATTTGATCTCAGCAGTGGTAGAATGTCAAATACAGAGTACCTTCGAAAATAATAAAACTATCGTCTTTGATTTGTGACACAATGGTGACCTGATCCATGACTTCTTCAGTGACATGTAATGTCTTGGTAGTGACGGAAGACCTTTTGGACAGTCGCTCTAGAGATGTTAAGCACCCTGGCCAAATACGCTTGACTTCTTCCATCAATGATTCTAGACGAATTCGTATCACTCAAACAAATTTGAAACATGTGGGAGATTTTATCAGTGTTTTATTTACCTCTGATCCTTTAAATCGGATCAAATATTGTTGTAAGATACAATGGACGATTGTCTAATAGAAAATTTAAAATATTAAGAGTGGCCACTTTTTTTTCTTTTTTTATTTTTTTGCTTCTCGATGAACTTTGCACCTGACTATATTCAAATCTTTACTTACGTCAGCGGGTTCATGTTGTTTTTCAATTATTCTTTCAAAAATCCAAAGAAAGTTTCGATAAAATATCCAAAATGACCTAAAGTTGGCGTGGGTCGTACTTAAAAACAGACTTTAGAAAATCAAAAGCGTGGCGGAAAAACTGAAACTAGAAAATTCCGCATTGTTTGTTCTGTTAAAATAATTAAACTTAAAAGAAGCGTTTTCTTTGAAAATCTGCAGTATGTGTTTCATCCACGTTCCCGATCCCGGTAACGATTTTTGTTTTGAATTGATTGCCAAGGCGGAGAGGCTAAATCGCTGTTACTCGCCAGTCGTCAAGCAGAGTTTGTCCAAACGGTTATATTTATGTTATCTGTTATAAATGTTATCTGCTCCTTGTCAATTGAATATTGACTCGGTGTTCTAAAGGGCCTTTGGACGTTTGAACAAATTCCAAGTGCTTAAAAAGTCAATAAACGACTTAATCTCTACCCCTCGAATCGGTTGAGTTTCGAAAACGGGATTGAATTCGACCAAAATCCGCCCGATGCCGATTGAAAAGTTCAATTGAGAAGTTGGAGAACGGGGCCGATCCTCCGGCTGCGAGAATTGGACGAGAAGCACCCAGGTAGAATTGAAAGAAAATCTGTTGGGACGGCCTTTCCCTACTCGAAACATAATAAATCGTCCCATATGTTTTCGTGCAAATAAAAATCGACTCCCTGTGCCCAAATGACATCTTTGATTTCCTTTTGTTAACTAAATTCTAAAATACTTTAAAACATCCTCAGACGTCTACGGCCGCGAATAGGAAAGTGGAAACCTCTGGAGTAAGTCTGCTAGATGTAAATACCGTTCTTAACAATACTGTAATTGCTGTACGTTTGTGGGGAAAAACAAACCGAGCGGTGATAATACGGAGAGATCCCCGTTTATTTGGGTTTTGAGGTCAAATAAATCGAATGTCACCCGGATAATAGCACGATTAATGTTACAGCGGTTTCTGACGAGATAGGAAGTCGGTGTTGCAATTTGCAATTTTACTCAGATTCTTGTGTAACGGGGCGAGTATAAGACAGCAGGCGACTTCTTATTCTTAACACCAATCCGAGGTAAAACTTAAAAATAATTCGACTCGCTTCATTCTGCAACTTTGGTGTTTTCTTCCTCCGAGATGAGCCATATAAAAAACAATTTTTTCGAAACAAAAGGTCAGCTAGTTGTGAAATCAATCTCACGGAGACTCAGTTCTGGAGTTTTTCGGGGAAAATCTAGTTATTAATGATAAAAATAATTTTGTTAGATTTATTCCTAAGGTCTGCAGGGTGCTAAACTACAAGTTTGAATGTTTCTGTTCGTTTTGGTCTGCTTATCATTGCTGTTTTGTTCTGCTAATCATTGCTGTTTTGTTCTGCTTATCATTGCTGTTTTGGTCTGCTAATCATTGCTGTTTTGGTCTGCTAATCATTGCTGTTCTGGTCAACTAATCTTTGCAGTTTTTAGTCTGCTAATCATTGCTGTTTTGTTCTGATAATCATTGATGTTTTGGTGTGCTAATCATTACAGTTTTTAGCCTGCTAAACATTGCAGTTTTTAGTCTGCTATTCATTGCTGTTTTGGTCTGCTAATCATTGCTATTTTGGTCAAGTAATCTTTGCAGTTTTTAGTCTGCTAATCATTGCAATTTTGGTCTGCTAATCATTGCTGTTTTGGCCTGCTAATCATTGCTTTTTTGGTCTACGAATGATTGCTGTTTTGTTCTGCCTAATCATTGTTGCTTTGGTCTGCTAATCATTGCTGTTTTGTTCTGCTAATCATTGCAGTTTTTGTCTGTCAGATATTTTACCATCTTATATATATAACTTTTTTTTTGAATAGGCAGATGGAGATATTTGGGAAAGATTAGCATTGAATCATTGAAGTATGCAGAGGGGTATGAATCTACTGTTTAGTCATTTCTGATCATCCTGGCTTTCCTATCATAGTTGTCTGTGGGTTGATAGCCAGATCCGTATGTTCAAAAGTGAATAAAAAATTAGCATTTACGTGTCATCATGTTTCAGCATTTTGCCATCTTCAGTGTTGGATTGAATAGACAGAAATTAATAAACAATTACCTACAATCACAAAGCTATCACACATCACATTACCTTGTCTAATGTAGTTATTTTGGTCTGTCAGACATGTTTCAGCATTTCCCCATCTTCAATGTTGAATTTTCATTAGGATAATGGGTTAAATAGGCATATCAATATATTTATTTAATTGTAAGATTTCCTCTTGAGGTTTGCTGGGAGTGTTCAATCTGTAGTTTGGTCATTTCTGATCATCTGCCTATCCTCTCTGTTTAGGTCTGTTGACCATGTTTCAGTAATTGTATAGGCAAAATCAAGATATTCAGAAGGCAAATTTATGGTAATTTGTCTCATTTCATTTATATTTTGAGCTTTTCTTTCTTAAAGGTGAGCCAAACCAAACACACTTTGATAAGAAAAAAAAGGTCATAACAGTTGTGAAAGCAAACATTCTCATGAAGACTCATGTCTGGAGTCTCAGGAACCCTCTGGGCATTAAAGACAAAATAAATGTTATTAGATTTTATCCTGAAGTCTGTAGGATGATAAACCTCAAGTTTAAACGTTTCTGATATTTTGCTAATCCTCTAATCATAGTGGTTTTGGTCTGTCAGATATTTTTGTAGCATTTTGCCATCTTCATTGTTGAGTTTGTTTTGTTTGGTTAGATATTCAGGGCCAACAAGTACCATTTATTCATAGGATTTCATCTTAAAGGGATGTAATGTGAAGTTTGGTCATTTTTGTTCATCCGGTCTTCCCTTCAAATTATTGGTCATTTAAATCATGTTTCAACTTGAGGAAGGCAGGGGGATGAAACTCGAGGTTGATCGTTTTCTTCTATAAGTGGCAATGAATAAGCATAGAACTAGACCTCAGGGACCTCGGCAAAACCATTTTTGTTCATTTTTAAATAATCCTGGTCACCTTATCCTCACTGCTTTTGGTCTGTTAATTGTTTTGGATTTTTACCATTTTAAATGAAGATTTTCTTTATGAGGTTTTATGAACCCTCGGAGTGTTGGTGTTTTTCAAAAAAAGCCCATTTGTATTTTGTAAGGATGACAGGTTTGAATACAGGGCTGTTACCTTACAGTGAGGAGCACCATGTTGTGGCCACTGACACCCCTGAATGAAGGGGAGTTTGTTGGGTTGAATAGGCAGAATCAAGATATTAGAAAAAGACAAAAAATTAGCATCTAACATAAGTGCAGGTTTCAACTTGATGGATACTGGGGTGATAAGTTGGTGGTTGGATTGTTTCTGATTATCCTGGCTTCCCTATCCACACTGTTTTAATTCGGGGTGATAAACCTTAGTTTTATCTTTTACTTCTGTAAGTGGCAGCGAATTAAACAACAAAACTTCAAACTGCAATTTTATCATTCTAGTCTGCCTCTCCTTGCTGTTTTGGTCATCAGATATTTCAATGTTTCACTATTTACAATTAAGGATTTGTGTTGTTAGGTTAGACAGGTTGATCAAGATATTCAAAAAGTTTAATTGGGAAATTTCATATTCAAGGTCTGCAGGGATATGATCCTGTAGTTTTGTCCTGTCCTTTTATAGGTGTCAGTGAAATAGGCAGACCTGGGAGATAGGAAAGTCCAAACTATGTTTACCATCTCAAGGGCTTCAACATTTTTTTTCATGTAATCCTGGTCTACTTATCGCTTGTTTTGGTATTTTGCCATCTCCAACAGAGAATTTTGTTATTGTGTTGAATAGACACAGCAAGATATTCAGAACCAACTAAATGATTAGCATCCAATTTCACAATTCCAATTTCTTCTTGAGAAATCCAAGGTTATTAATTTTGTACTTTGATCTCTGTTTTGATCTGTCAGACAAGTTCAGCCCTTTCACTGTCATTATGATTTTTATTTTAGTTCACTGAGAGTAGTATGATCAGAATTGTCTCAATTTATAAGTCCAAGTACATTATTCTTCGTTCTTTGAATTTCAGATTCCTTCATGGTCAATATAATTAAGTTTACATAGTCTGAAATTGCTCACTTTCTCTCAATCTCTGAATTATAACTAGGCTAGGAGGATCAGTGATTTATCCTTTGTTAAAATATTTCCTTAATTCACGTAATTTGAATTTTTATGTACTTATATGTTTAACATATTGCAATTGTAATTACTAGGGCTATGGAATATATGCATTTGCATATTTTTTCTGGTTAACTAAAACCTACAGTTTTAACAAACTGTATATGTTTGAAAGCATTTGGAATCAATTTAAGCTATATTTAATTTGCATATTTGTGCATATATTGCCATCAATGCATATTTTTGCATAAACGGGTTGTAATTGCATATTTTTTTACATATCCGGCACATCGGTATTTGGCACGTCAAATTTTACTGCTTCTGAATAGGCAAAAATATCCGAAAAAGAGCTACGGGTTCCCAGTCTTCCGTTTCCACATAATGAACGAGTTTGTGTTTGTTCAGTTGCTGCTCCTCTGCGAACTTTCGGTCGCCTTTGCTTCTCTTGGAATAGATGTAGAAAGGAATAGTGTTTGTACCACTGTAAATGTTCCCTTGCAATAGTTCAATTGGATTCATGGAAATATTACGACCTCAGTTCTCTTCTTTACCTACCAACATACGAACATAGCTGTACCCAGTCTCTCATGCGTTCACGTTACATCGTGAAGCAGTATTCGTGTGTTGTGAACTGACTAGTCCTAAAATGCCGAAAGCCACCGCAAAGACGAATGATTTTTTTTCAAAAGTATGTGCGTGAATTTTCCAGTGAGACTTTTAAGGGCGATGCAGACGTTTTACACTGTGTTTATTGGGGTAAACCTGTATCAACAGCTACACGTTTTTTGGTAACAGAGCATATGAAAACAGTAAAACACAAGGGAAACAAAAGTTGGAAGTCTAAGTTTCAACAAACTTTTGTGACACAACTGGTCTGGAAAGTCTGGTTTCGATACCGATTTATGTCGTTCTTTAGTTAGAGCTGACCATCTATAAACTAAGCCACCCAGAATTCAAGGTTTTTTTGGAAAAATGCAAAGGGAAAACCTTCCACACGAAAGTACCCTCAGGAAATCTCACCTGGATCTTAAATACAATGAAACACTCCATAAAATCAGAGACGTCATCGAAAATAGACCGATCTGGGTCTCGATGTATGAGACGGAGGATTTTTAAAATTTTTTTTTTTTTTTTAAATGCGTTTTTCTTTTTTAATAATAGCCATGTGATATTCCTCTTGCCACTGTTTCTCTATTCACTACTTCAAAACTTTGAGGTTTCCTTATTTTTTCTCATGGTAGTTTCGCATATTTTCAGTTTTAAATTGCAATTTTTACCAAATATGTTTACATATATATGTGCATATTTGAATGTTTTTATTGCATATAAATCACAGCCCTAGTAATTACGGTGTCTTTCACCACAAGGTTTGGGTGAGTAGTGCATTTTGAAAAAAAGTCTGCTATCTTAAATTCTTTGTTCTTCTATTTCATCCTTGTAGGTATCAGTTTATAATGCACAAGCTTTCATTCTGAATCATCTGGGGTTTCTTGATGTTGATTTTTGATTATGTATTCCTGACTGGGCTATTATAAATTAATACCTAACATATAAAGGTAGTATACCTGTAGTTTATTTTTACTGTTCAATAAAGACTTTTTGTTGAGGATTTGAAACGACAGCAACACCTATTGCTGAATTTTTATAGATTTTACTATAAGGCAGGCCTTTTTTTAATGTGATATCCAAGTGTTTAGTTTAATGTGATATACACACTCTTAAAAATTCAGACTTGTTGAACTAATAAGATTATTGAGTCTGGTAAAATTAGTAAAGGCACTTTGGTCTTATTGATGTTCATCTTTAACTTCTATTTTTTGTAATATCCAAAGAGTTCAATCAATCCCTTTTCATTATCAATTCGTACACAGCTGTATTGTATGAACAAAACAGTTATTTGTAGGTGTTTTAAAACTCCTCCACCGATTTGATGATAAGGGATGAAACCTTTAAGAACCATAAGGGTTTTTAATCATCTAGTGTTTTCATAAAAATGATATGATTTCCCTGGCATTTTAGAATACCAATGATTTACACATTTGAATTGAACGAATCCTACTTTTTTTTACAATAATAGTTGAAAGATATATCACTTTTGTCATACAATAGTAACAAAAAATACCATAAAGCTTTTGTAAGCTCAAAATGTAAATAAAATAGTGATATATTTAAAAAAGAATATTATTAAGTTGTTTAACTCTCTGTAAAAATTTGGAATTAATTTTGGTTCACTCATGTGTGTTTATTATAAAAATTTGCATAATGTTTCCTTATTTTTTTTTTTAAACAGCTGGTACCTTGTCACAGTTAAAAGTAAAATAATACATCATATTCCATCATAGTACAAGTAAAAATAATAAGAAATTCAAGATGGACAAACAATTTTCCTACAGAGAAGTGTATACAGATAAAAGGTAACGAACATAGAGTTTTGAAAAACTCGAATTGAAAATAGCAATTGGCAAGGGAGGTGCTTACATTATTCTATATTAAATTATATTTTAAACAAATTAGAATCGGAAATCTCTAGAGATCTGCAATATAAAAGTATTGTTTCTGTCACATCAGATGCCAAATAAGATGCCAATACACATAGAAATGCCAAAATAAGTGCCATTTTGAATGACAATATATAAGCTAGAGAAGAAATTTGGAACAAAGACAACACAGAGACATGCAAAAAAAAGAAATAATCTGTGTTATTAGAAAATAATGAATTAAAAAATATAGATTATACAATTAATACATTCATTCCTAAGGTAAACCTACTTTTATTTAGAAAAAAACATGGACAAATTTTACATTTGATTTATTGTGGCACAAAAAAAAAAAAAACTGTGATCCCTTTTTTTCATATTTCTCTTCCTCCAAAAACACAATAACAAATAAACCATTAATCGAATATGAGCTCTGGCGGCTAATATTGACAAAATATGGGAAACAACTGTATTATTTAAATATTATTACTATTACTATTGTGTGGTGATTAGTGACCATTAGTCGTTTCTGAATAACTATTACTATTTAAATATTCTTTTATTGTCTTACAAATCAAAGTTACTTTTATACAAGGATTACTCTTACTCGCAGGTTTTACTTCTACAATTTATTTCAAGAGACATGTTTGTAACTCCTCCAAACTGATGAGTGTTTAATGCTTGAAATCCGTATGGTTTTAAACAACAAAACCTGTAAAAGCCATCCTTTGCATAAAAGTGAATCGACTACTCACTCCACCTTCATTATTTCTGTAAATCTAAGTTATTTTTGGTTACCAAATGCAAAGTTTTTACTGTATTATTTATTTATATTTGCGGGTTGTTCACCAAAAAGAAAATTTCATTTATACAACTGTCTTAAAAGTTATTTTTTATGAAATATTTAAACTAGGTCTGTTTTATTTTGTAGTACCATGTAAGGACCGTATTAGTTATGTCACCTTTTTTTCTTTTCTTTTTACAGTTAAGAAAAGTTTCAGTGAAAACTATTCCAAATGGCTCTTGGTGAATATGACTTGAGATTCTAGATTTAACAACATGGCAGATATAGAATGTGGAGGATATCAATTCCTCCACAACTTTGATTCTGGAAATTTGGCTAATGTCGAGTATCTCGGGTATTATGGTAAGTTGAGTACATATTTGACTTACACATTTATATAACGAGTTTATTCAAAAAAGAACCCGAAGATGAAGAGCCATATTTTGAATTTGATGTTTGGACAAGACCTGATAATGGAGGCTCCGAGTATGAGAATGGGAATCGTACCTGGTTCTACTTTGGTATCAGAGGTATAAAATTTACACCATATAAAAATTGGAAAAAAATGCGTATTTGGTGTTTTAAATGCGATTCATTTCCAGGTGGGACACCATTCAGCACCATAAAGTTGAACATTCAGATGAATAAGCAAAGCAAGATGTATGGCCAAGGGATGGCACCTGTTTATCGGGTGCTCCCTGGAAGAGGGAATTGGGAAAGGATCAAGGACAGGCCGACGTTTTCAGTAAATCTCGTGCAAAATGTTAATTTCCTTTCCATTCACTTTCCTAATCCTATATTTAATCCTTATTTAACATAATCCTTAAAATTCTAATCCGATATTTTTACTGAGTTTTTTCCTAAAACATAAGGTTATTTCATTTTAAACAAGTATTGGATAATATTTTGAGAAAAACCTACAAAATATCTCTTAAAAACAATTAGATATTACCCCAGTACTTGTATTATTAAATAAATAAAATTCTGCTTAATATGCCTTACTAAAGAACAATTGTTTTATTTTAGATAACAAGTGGAAAATTTATTCTAAGTTTCAAACATAAATTAGGGGAAACTGAGAAGACGACAACATTTTTCGCATTCACATACCCATTTTCTTATTCCGACCTCCAGAGTTTTTTGTGTTCGTTAGACTTCATGTACCGAATGAAGAATGAGACATCAACACACAGTAAGAAAATATTGTTTAAACTTGCAATTGGCTTGTTGGAAACTCTAATTTAAATAGCTCAGGAAACCTGGAATTATATAATATACATATACAGCTTTTTTTTCACTTTTAATTAATAATTCATGTGATTAAGTATCGTCATTTAATTATTTATACTCTGCAACATGAGTTGTGTTGTGCACATAGTTACTTTTTTCCACTGACCATTCTCATATGACCACATACAAAAGCATGTTGCAGAGATTAATTCTCTAATTAATCGTCATAACAGTCTGACATGTTGTTATATGTATTTGTATCTTTCTAGCAAAAGTAGATGATATTTACTATCACAGAGAGTTGCTGTGTTACACTCTAGAGAAACGAAGAGTTGATTTAATAACAATATCATCCCACCATAACATTAGCACTCAACGAGAGCCAAGATTCGAACATCTATTCCCCGATCTGTCGACACCCAGATGTTTCAAATTTATCAAAAAGGTACAACCTATAGTGGTACCTAATTTTATAATTTTGTTGAGGAAGCTAGTTTTTTTGTTGTTTTTATTGATCTAATTTCTCTTCAAAATGTAGAATGAAAGTGAAAGTGATAAATATCTCTTCAAGTTCAGAAGACAATTCATGAAACCGACTCAAAAACAGGTTTTGATATTATCAATTTTTTAATTAATAATTTCAAACTTTGGAATTTGAGAAATGTATACAAATTCTGTATTTGATGTCATCATACTTCAATTTTTTTTACAATAATTTAGTGCTACACTGTCTGAATTATATATAATAAAAAAAGGCAACAAATTAAACATTCTATGTGCTTTTTTTTATTATTTTGATTTTTACGTCAGCAAATTACTTTAAAATTATAATAAAACTTTGGCAGGTAATATTTCTCAGCGCCAGAGTTCACCCTGGAGAAACGCCTTCGAGCTTTGTCATGAATGGGATTTTGTCGTTTTTGATGTGCAAAGAGGATCCTGTTGCCATAGCCCTAAGAAAGTATTACGTCTTCAAGATAATACCAATGATCAATCCCGATGGGGTTTATAGAGGCAATTATAGGACAGATACAAGAGGAGTCAATCTTAACAGGGTTTACCTAAATCCTTCTCCTACTGATCATCCTGCAATTTATGGCGCAAGGTATTTTTCTATTTAATATTTTTTTCAAATTGCATATAGTTCCACTTTGATTTTAGAATTTCAGTAATGACATAGAATATAGATCTTAAAATTAATTGGTAGCATCTGTATTTGTACAAATCGAATTAAAAAATAGTAATAAGGAAGAAAAGTGTCATATGGAGAGTTAGTGAAGGAGTTAGAAAGTGGCAAGAGAACTCTTTGCAGGCAGTTTCTGGCCGAATTAGCAGGCGAGAGAATAGACCTGGACGTTTCCATATTCTAGCTAAAATATGGGAGCTCTTTCCTGAGAGGTTCGTGGCTATACATGACCAGGTGGTCCCATGAAAGTTTATTTAAAAAGAATAGTAGGGGACCCAACTGCCATGGATGATGTTTGCAGCATATGTGGCCGGTACGCAGAGACGATCCAGCATGTGTCTGGATTTACAATGATGGCCGCTAAACAATACACGGAAAAGCAGAATTGTGCCACAAAGATTATATATTTAGCACTTCCTAAAAGTTTGAACTTACTTCACACATTACTGCTACCAGCCCGATATTATCTGGCACAATAAGAAGTGCAAAAATTGCACAGTGTATATAATAGATGTTGCCGTGCCAGATAATCGAAATTTAGGGTAAAAATTTCATTCCATGTTAAAATGAGAAAATACAGCAAGCTATCACTGGAGATCGCTGCTCACTGGACTCACTGGAGACAAATAATAAGTGTGGAGACTTCTCCTACCGGCCATGGGTGTTATCCTTACCACCTTTAGTAGAGGACTGGAAAAGCTTTGGTTGCATCCTGGCATAATCCAGCGAGTGCAGAAAGCAGTGTTCCTTACCTTAGTTCCTGTGAGGTACAGAGAAATACAAGAGGCAGCGTAGATGTTCCCCGGGGAGTTCTTGACAAGGGGTCAACAGGATTAGCCCTCTTGTATTTATTCATATAAAAATACAAAACATTTTTTACATAAACATAATTAAAGATAAACATCATGATCCCAGGACTTGCCAACGTAGTCTTTTTACATTTCTTATGTTGTAGTGCAGTTAAATTAACAACAGAAAAAGGAAACTAATTACTTATTCATTTTTTAATAAAATTAAATAAGGCAGGTTAAATTTCTTTTTGTATTATTTTGTATTTATTTATTTATTTTTCAGGAAATTGATCCTCTTTTACCACCATGGTCGTGAAGTTGAAGAACCGCCAAATCTATTTGCTGCTTTCAGCCTTCCTAGCCCTAATGATAAAACAGATGACACTGATTTGAAAGTACTAAAAACTTACGATGTAAGAAGATTTACATTTAAATATACTGATTTGTGTCTGGCTTTTATTTATTTATTTATTTTTATTTATTTTAGCAGGCTGATGATAGCCCAGAGGAGGAATGCGATGACAGCTGTGGGGATTTAATCCACCTTCCGAACAATGGAACTGCGGATTGTAACGAAGAAAAAAATAGTCCAGATTTGTCTTTCCACCAGTTGATAACACCGCCTGAAAATTCTGGCATATTTCTGTACATTGATATGCATGGTCATGCCTCAAAAAAAGGTAATTTTATAATACTGCTTTAAAAACCAACTATTCCTGGGAAAAAATTGATCCTGTCATGTATGAAGGTTTTATGTCAAGCCTATTTGATTGTTCTACGTCTTTACTATTATCCACTCAAATTATTGAAGAAAGTGCCAACAATTGAGCCCAGAACTGATAATTCATAGTCCCACACTCATTCTTCAGTCCTTAAAAAAATAAATATCTGTAAACAGCAACCACCGAATAATCTCTCTATATTTGCTTGCTTTCCTTTAAGCAATAAGTGAATAGTGAGGTTCTAGAATTTAATAAACCATGTTCTTCAACATTTATTATAACACAATTCTGCCTTTTAAATATACAAAAAAAAAAAGTCTTAATAATCTAAAAAGTAAGCCACAACCTTAAATCTGGGGTGAGTCTTTGGTATTGACTGACTTTTGATTTCCAAATCATCCCTTTTTATAACAGTTTCTCTGCTGGAGTGTGGAAAGGAAAAATCAAAAGTCTGGGGAGTTCCCACGTTGCGGGTGGACCTCGAAAAATGGGTATCACGTACCTGGTTGATGCAACTTCAATTTATGATGTCCATGTCGCTACATATTTTTTGGCCTTGTGACAACCTTTCAGCACTAAATAACTCGACATTAGTTATTTATTTGATTGGTTGTCCAACTAAACCTCCCACAACTTCACTCCCTACGCAATCCCATTCGAAATTCCGAGGACTCCTCAGAAAGTACAAAAGTGTTACTGGCTAAATTTTTCCAACTGGAAGTAATTTTTTTTTTAATTATTCTGCAAAAGCCATGTAATTTACATTACTGTAAAATATTATTTTATTTTAATTAATTACTTACCCATTTTGTATGAGTTTAATAAAAAATAAATTAAAACATTTTAAATGTAGAAATGACTTTTATTCAAATATGCACCCATATTGACAAAACGTTCTGCGGGGTTGCCTACTTCATTTACTTAGCGCTGTGGGGGACACAACTCTTGTGCCATATAATTTTTAACACTTTGGTAAATGTTAAAAAAAATAATAAACAAATCATTTAGGTTATTTTGAAGTCCCAGAGATGGGGACCGCAGTAAGTAGCCAGTGGTTAGCGTGTTAGACTCTTGGCCCATAGACCAGGTACAGGTTGATTCTCATCATTGTCCTGACCCCTTTTTACACTATACCCCCTCCTAACTACACTGAAACAATTAACTATTCAACTACGTACTCTGTCTTATACACTAGTTGTTAAGGCCATTAAAAAAATAATAATAAAAATAAAGTGTCAGAGAGCTATTTTGATTGTGATAAATGAATTCCACTGTGGGCAACCAAAATGGTCAAGTGTAGAATACAGTTAGGTAGGGTTCACACCAGAGCAATAAGAAACACATCGTTGATCGTAAGCGATATACAATAATTGCCCTGTAAAGTATGCAACACTCAGGCCTATAAAAACATGAAGGTATGGCAAAATGTAGTTCACACCTGTACATGTGTTATAAAATAAGGGTATCCAGAGACGTTGCTTGCTCATCTCTTCCTTCAGTGTCAACGATATTGCGAAGGGTGAAGATGACAAATTCAAAGTGTGAGGACGTTGGCTTTGTTATTGGCTGTCTCATGTCTTATCGCTTCAGTATGAACCTCATTTATCTTAGGATAAAAATTGTGTATCTAATGTTTCTGCAGTAAATATTTTACCAGCCTTACTGAGTTAAAATATATCACCTTATAAACGTCTTTTAGTAATTTGTAGGCAATTTCTCCCTTAGGCACAAGTTGTTCAAAATTCTTTCTATGTAATATATACATACTTTTTTAATACATACTGTTTAATAGTATATACTGTTATAAAACATAACTACTGTTTTGAGGATCACAGTGGCTGAATGATTAAGGTGTCCGACTCATATTTGCCATACTAGCCCTTAGCTTTTTTAATCGAGAATAATATGAAAAAGGTATTATAAAGTGGTTTCACACCCAACAAGCAGTTGGACATTAAGCCCTCCTGACAGGAATTACTTTACTTTTTACAACCTTAAATGTTATTTTTCTCTTTGAAAATTAAAATGAATTTTTTTAGGCATTTTTATGTATGGAAATCATTTTAAAAACATGCAAGATAACATTGATTGCATGCTACTGCCAAAGTTGATCTCAATCAATTCCCAACATTTCCATTTCGACTCATGTAACTTTACAGAGAGAAACATGTATCTCAAGTAAGTGTGCTAGTTGTGCCATTTACACTCTATACAAAATAAACTCACTTTTGTAATTGTTTTTAAAAGGGATAAAAAAGATGGCAGTTCGAGAGAAGGCGCAGGCAGAGTCGCCACGCTAAAGTTAATAGGGCTGATCAGAAGTTATACTTTAGAGTGTAATTACAACATGGGGAAGAGAGTGAACCATCTTCCTCCACCCCTGCGAGAGACTCTAGACAAGAAGCCCATGCAACCGCATATAACACCTCCAAAGTTCACGCCACAGATTTTTGAAGAGGTATGCTTGAATGATTTTTTGAACTGTTACTGTCTTTAACAATACCTTTCTATTGTTATTTTGGACGTATTTTTAGACAAATTTATTTGAAGGGTTTTCAAATTTAAAAAAAATTATTGCTTTTAGGTTGGACGTTCCATTCTTTGGTCTGTTCTTGATTTAAATGGTCTTCATCCAAATTCTCGCCTTATTAATTCATCATATAGATGTTTGTTGAATGTACGAGAAGTGCTGAAGTATAAAGTAATTGCTGATCAAAATCTGAGTGACGGCAAAGCCGAAATGAAAAAAGCTAGAAGTAGCAAGGTATGTAAGAACAATTGTTTAAATATGCATGAAACCACGCAGTACATTTTAAAAATAGTTTGATAATTTTACATTTGCCTTTTTAATAATGTCATCTAATAATGACCTAATTTGGTTATTATTCTTACTTCATTTTTCTTAAATTGTAGTTGAGATCTTGAAAACAAAAATATTTTATTATGGTGAACATAAGAATATATCGTATCTCAAGAAAAATAAGAATACCTTTTTTTATTTAGAAGCCTTTGAATTTTAAACACAAATAGAATATTTTATGTCCTAAATTCATATTCTGTTTATTTTTATAATTCGCAGATTTGTTTATTTATATTTGAAAAAAAGCACTTTAATTTTTATTCCCATGTTTTTATCGTGCACAACAGGAAATGTTGATAACTGCCTGCATCGCTTTGCTCAATACAAAACTTGACATACCAAATAAGTCAACAAATTCACTGAATATCATGTAGTATTTCATGTAGATCATTCTGATTACTCAATTTGCATTTTGTAGAGGTTGTTTAGTCAATGTCTGCATGAATCTTCACAATAAATACCACAACTAGAAAAAATGTAATGTGCAGTCCCACTACCATGCAATTGTTTGTAAATTAGAGAATATTTAGAGAAATTGCAGTTGAAAAAAATTAAGATTTACAGGATTAACCCGTATTATTTTTTACAAATCATACACAAAAAAGTTTCCATGGATCTATAATAGAGAGAAATAAACAAAAATACCCACGACCTTTATTTATCACTTGATTCATGTAACTAAGAAGTTTTAACAACAGTTTTACATAATTCCATTTAATTTGTGATGTTTTTGCTCTATTTGACAATTTTTATAAATGAATCTCTTTCTACATAATTAATAAATTTAATAAGTAATGGATTTTGACATAATTTAATGTGTTTAGTTTAAAAACAACTTGCACAACAAATGTAAATATGCACTTCTATGCAACCTCTACATTATGTTGTTCAACGAAATTCTTGTATTAGTCAGGCAGGTGTTTGGTGTTTTTCTTGATTTAAAAAAAAAAAAAGTATATTCATTTTACAAATGCTGAAGACCGAAGGGTTGTGTTTTAATAGGTGAAGGGTGACAATAGTGGCATCACTTTCAATGGTAGCAAACCAAAAGTAAACAACCGAGGAGAAGATAGATCCAGGAAATCGAAGGTGTCCCCAAACCCTTCGAATAGCGCTTCTCTGTCTAAATTTGGGACCAAAGGTCAGCCCAGCCATGTGTCGACTGCACCAGAAATAAGGAAAAAGCGAATGAAAAGGACAAATTCACCTAATTGGATGAGTATGTCTCGTCTCGAGAAAAAAGGCGATGCCAAAAGGCTTCTGCCTGAACAGCGTAGGAAGAAGTTGAAACCAAAGTGAGTCTCAATAAATAATCATAGTTTTTAATGGAAAGATTTTTTTCTTAAACTGCTTAAATTTGATCTGAGAAAATTTACCATTTACCATTTGAAGTTAATACAGTGCTTTTTATGGAATATCAAGCACTGTTGCATTTCTTATTAAATTACAATTTACTTTTATTTAATAACATTATTCTTACTGGTCTTATAATTGAAATTTAAACAACAAAAAGTAATGTCCAAAGAATCTTCTCTTACATGTTTTGAACTCCTAGCATTTGAGTAGCCTTTTGGTTCTATAATTATTAGCTGTGAAAATTTTGGTTAATCCAAAGATGTATTCCATCTCAAATGGCAGCAACCATCCATTGTGCTTTTTGTAAAAAAGCTAAATTTATAGGGCTGAATGTGAATATAGATACTTACATAAAGACAGCTCGCTGTGATCACTTTAAAATATTAACATTTGGGTAAAGTCTTATTTAATTTACTCATCCCATTATTTTTTAACCTTTTTTTATAAAAAATTATGAGGTTATTAAACCTTAGCTTTTTTTTTATCTACAATGATAATATGTATATAAACCAATATAAATCTTGAAGATTTTGTTTTCTTAATACAATGTATGCATTTATGTATTCAAAAATAGGTAGCAAATATTTTTCTTTTTGCTTATATACCTGTTTTTGTGTAACAATTTTTTTTTTAAATCTATATTGTTTTTTTATTTCTGTTCGTAAAGCTGAATATTGTATGCAATATGGTTTGGCAGTGCTTCATTGATGATGTATTATTTCCATTACAGTCGAATAGGAAATTGTAGAGAACCTTTTTTTTTTTTTTCTAGTTGGATCTACTATTTGTAGTTAATGTTTAAATCTATAAATATTTTATGTACACATTGCACAGTTTGTTCATTTCAAATTCAAGAATGAATGAAAAAGTCAACAACGGCAAGAGAACCTATTTAATTAGTCACATCTTAAAGTCGTGATATTTATTTTTTTACCATTATGCTTTCATTCCATCAAAAATTAGTGTAATTGAGGTCTATAAGGTGGCCATTTGATCATCTCTCTTATTTGCCTATTCTTACTGGATTGTCTTTCAGATTCTTTCATTATTTTACCATATTTTGGTTAGTTTAGATGGATTTGTAACTTATTAAATCTTTACAAACCAACTGAAAATGGCAAAATAGTGCAACACTTTCCTGGGAATTGTAGGTCTTGGCCTCTCAAAGTTTCCCTATACTCTCTTTTGATAATGTGTATCCTTATGTGAACCACGACATCACTAGTCCTTTATATTTATCATTTATCGTGTTTCTCATTTTATCTAATTTGGCCTTTCCAACCACTCCTAGTCCTTTCATCACTTTTCTTTTCAATGTTTTCATCTGTTCACATCACTTTGGTAATTGGCTACTTTTCTCTGCCAAAGCAGACAACATAATTTGTGATGAAGATTGTAGTGTTGTTCTAGTTCTTCAGCCTTATTCCATCATCAACATCTTTAAATATCTTGTCACAATTTATGTTGGATTTGATGAACTTGAAATAATCGACAATTTTGAAGATATAGTCATCTTTTTTCCAGCTTGTTCCAACTACAATCTAAATCTCCCAAACTGTTTCTCTTCTGTTTCTTGTTAGGTTCTCAATTTCTTAGGCTGATCTGGAACCTCTTGGTAAACCACCTTGGCAATTTTTTTCATCACCTGGTAATGCCAGGTTTAAAATCATGGCTGAGGGAAGCACCTCTGCTTAATTCCATTTTTTAGCCAAAATTCTGACTTACTTTCTCGATTTTGGCTCTTTTACTTCAGTGAGTGTCATTTTTATTAGTTAGGGAATATTAAATTCTCTCAGCATCATAACCTTTATATAATCCAGGAAAAGCAAATCTTTGTGCTCATGTTTTTTCATTTTTGACACACAATTATTTGGCCAGTCGTGCATCTGTAGGACCATATGGAAACATAGGACCATATTCAACTTATTATTTGATTAGAGTAGCCATCATCAAATGTACCTCATGGCATCTGGCAGACACAACAGGCAAGAATAGACAGACAAGGAAGATTATTGATCAAACTGCATGTTTTTAATATTGAAGTTCAGAAGTGTTTTGTTACTTCTGATTATATGTGATCAATTTTTAAAATAAGTCAGCGCAGTGACATCATTGTGATCTTTTTGTCTGAATTTAAAAAAATTGTAATGATTAATTTATGAAGCTTATAACATTAAGTGCAATATGTTTTTTCTTGCTTGTATGTTTTATGGCTGTGAATGGTCTGCTAACTTTAATTATCTTTTGCAATATTGCTATGTCTAGAAATATACCATGTTCAGATTAGAGCTAAAATTTATATTTTAATTATTTTTTTTTTAAATTGATGTTAGAGTATAATTACATTCAGTAATATTAGATATAGAACAAAACAAATATCTCTTTGTTTAAATGGGTAGACCCGGAAAAATCCGGGGTGAAAAAGTAGTTTAGTGAGTGTTACACAAAGGTTCAATTATAAAGGCAGGCATTATAAAAACATGTGACTTTGTCACTATAGAACTTATAGTGATTAAGGTATTTTGAAATTTTTAAATGTAGCTGTTTTTCCTAAAAAGGTTAGTGATGACTATATTTAATATTAATGTATTCAGTTATTTTTGTAAGATTAACTGCCAAGAACTTCAAATGGACAAGGACTTGCCATTGAAACTGTAAAGTACAATGATATTGAGAATGCTACTAATAATTGAAATAATACAAATTTGGTAATTTTATGAGTTGATGATTTGATCATCTTTTATTATTTTCAGCAATATCATTTGTGAGATGCATTCTCGTTATAAACCATCCTAATATATTTCTGTATATTTCTATTGATAAAAAGTTATATAATTGTTATTTTTTTAAGTTAACATACGAAATTATATTTTTCATATATTATTGAACATTCAATATGCAGTTAAACCTTTTAAGTAGTACATTTTCTGATCGAAAGTAGTACAATTTTGATTGATGTTTAAGGCCTTGGCTATTTATTGCAGGGGTTCTGTACCTTGGCCTACATTAAAATAGAATGTGGATAAAATTTTAATTTGTAGACAACACATAACTAAAAAACTTCATATTGTACCTTAACATACGTGTGTTTAGAAATATAGCCTAGATAATAGTAATAGTGATATTTTCAAATGTGTTCATTAGCGATTGAGGACATGTTACTTAAATTTTTGTTACCTAAAGCTCTTTTAATAGTTTAATCTATTTGAAACATGTTTTAACATAAAAGCATGAACAAACTCCTGAAATCCCACAATTATTTTATTCATTAAATTATTTGTTAAACTTGAATAGAACAAATTTGTCCCTAAATTAAAGTTTTTATTGGTTTCTGCAAATCAAATAAATTGCCGCTCATTTCTTTTTATTAGTGCCCCTGTTTGTATGCTGTGAACATGCTTCTTTTTTTTAATTAAAAGCCCAAATTTTCCTTACAGGCAAAAGTTATAATTATACAGATTAATCTTTTTATAAAATTTATAACAATAATTATTAATTATTTATAATTTTCTAAATGTAATAAACAAAATAATTTGAATATTTTTGCTTATTCATCTACTAATTGATGCTCGCAAGTTAATAAGGTAGGTCACTAGTTTAACATTATATTATGTACAAGGTAATCAGGCATTTAATAAACAATTTAAATAAACAATATTGTAATAACATATAAAGAATGAGTCATAATGTTTGACTTGAACATAACATTTTTTTTTGTACAATTTTACTTACTGAATTTTTCTTCACATAAATCTGTTGTTTTTATCATCATCAGTTGAGAATGAAAAAATAATTTCTTGAATTGTTTATCAAAGAGGAAAGTTTGGGGGCATCAGTGGCCACAACAGTTAAGACATTGACACAGCTCTCATCACTGTAAGATACAGTGTCCATGAATTTGAAACAACCCAACATAATTACAAAAATGGGCTTTTTTTCCAAAGACACCGGCACTTCGAGGGTTCATGTAACCTCGTAGTTGTAATACCCTCATAAATGATAAAACGGGGAAGTGAGTACTTGAATAAGGGAAAGGAGAGAGAGAGAGAGAAAATTTTAAACAAAAAACACATTTTTTGATATGCATCATTTATTAAATTTTTGTTTCTTTACATTTGAAAATTGTACTGTATTCACACTAAAATCTTGAAGAAGTATTCTACCTGAAAATGCATTTATACATTTATTAGACACATCTAAATCTGGCACTTATTAAAAGATTGAGATCATTTACAATATAGTTTCAAATATTCAAAGAAGTTTTGAAAAGCTTTTTATTGAGGCAAATTTTTACTTTGACCACTTTTTAAATGTTTTTTAATATTGTTTTTAATTTTTTTTAAATAGTATAAAAAATAAAGAGGTTCTGAGTATGTCTTATCATCTGAAGCACCTGCACAGTATTTGAAATTATCTTCCAAAATAGCTTATACCAGCACTAATTTGCAGACCAAAGTAGCTTTAAAATTGTGCTTCCTTATTACAATTGAAAAATAGATATTTAAAGTTTTAATGTCTCAGCTTATAGTTATAGTTCACTTTGTTCAGAAAATCAGGGTTTAAATATTAGAAACAATTGAACTATAGAATTTTGAACTGATTACATTGGTTGCTGATAGCATCTTTACAAAAATGCACTTTCTGTAGAATAAATATCTACATTGAATTTAAAAAAATAACAATAAGCCTTTCCACAATGCAAATCACTATAGAATTATCATCAAGTGTGGGAAATCAGTGGTAATTCTTATCTTTACATTGAAATGTGTAAAGAAGAAATAAAAGAATGTACTTACTTCCTTTAAGTATAAACAAAAGGCAAAACAAACCAGAAATTGCTCCAATGATTTTTATTACAATTTCATTTGGAAGTTTTCATGAGTAAATAGGAATTCACTGACATCTATGTAGAAGGTAAGTGCATAAGATTGATCAAAATAATGTTATAAATTTATTGACTTTTTATTTTGTAGGGATACTACATGGTTTAATTATTAAAACACTGCTTTAAAAAAAACTGTATTTGCCCCATGCTTCACCATTTCATTTCCTTCTCACATACAGTTCAAGTTTTACAATTTGTTTCTTATAAAAAACAATTTTAAAAAATCAGCCTAATCAGTTAAGAATTTGTTCAAATAAACCCTGAAATTCTGATTCGAAAGATATTCCAAGCATTCTTAAAGTTAATCTTGTTTAAAATTGTTTCCGTTATTGTGTTTTAGTTTGTACACGTACTTTAACATATGCAATTCCACACCAAATAAAAGTGCAACTAGCAAAGCTCAATAAAATGCTTAAGTAGTCAATTTCACAAGAAAAAACTATACAATTCACACAAATTTTTAAAATACTTTTTCATCCTATCTTTTACAGAAAATACCATTTTACTGGAAACTAAAGCAATGGGCCTAGAAATTTAAAACATGTTTATATGATGCTGAGGGCAAGTCAGAACAATTTTAATAGTTTTAAAAAAATAGTACGATTGTATTCATAGGTAGTACATATGACACTATTAAATTTATTATTTAGTTTCATTACTTAATTCAACCTGTGTTGTGTGTTGGCCAACAGTTTTAAGGAAAGAGCATAAAAAGACCCCAAAAATGTATTATTTTGTTTCTGTGTACATCAAACTAAGACTATAACACTGCCAAATATTGGATAATTTTTGAATTTATAGATTTTTGACCATGGATGAGAAAATAAGAGTTGGTAGGGCTGAAATCAAACTGCTGTCTACCATACAATTAAACTGGGCACACCATGATTTTTGGCTTTAGGAGGCTTAGAAATTTAAAGTGACAAATTTGGAAAAATAGATGTTGCAATGATCAGTCGGTACAAAATTACAAAACTACTCAAACACAGGAGTGAAAATGGGCCCAAATGGATTTAATGCTGACTCAGCATGACATGCTACATACCTCCGTCCCCACATCCTACCTATTTCCACACATTTTGGTCAATTTTTCAAGGAATAAAAAATTCCAGTGATTAATATCATACTTTGCTTTATGTATAATTTTTAAAAGCTAATTTGATGGTAGTAAATGGGCTTGTTTTGACATTTACATGTTTTACTCCAAACCCAACTGTTACAATACAATAAACAAGTACATTGAAAGTGTAAATATTAAATTTAAAACAATTTGACTAGATAATTTTGAACACCTAAGTTTCATTGTGCCACTAAGGTGAATATTCTGTTTAACAATTATTGTACAAAACTTCTTTGTTTTTTGTTTAAAACCCTACATTTGAAAACAAAAACTGTTCAGGCTTAATGGTTGTATGGAAATTTCATGTAAATTTAAAATTGACTTACTTCCAGCAATGCATCTTCAGGAAGATCTGTGACATGCACAGCATTTTGTACTTTGGTTTTGCCAAATTGAGCCCTAAGTGTATCAGGTCTTAAATGCCTAGCCATTTCCTGAAATTGTTATTTATGGTTATTAATAAAAACATTTAATTCAAAAGGAAAATTTTTTTAATTTCAAACGACCCAATCATTTAAAATTAGACTCTAAATTAAACACCAAAAATGGACAACTTCACATTTTAATATGTTATTTAAAGTAAGAAAATTGATTTTTTAATTGAAAGATTTCATTGGATGTTAAATTAACAAAATATCAATCGAAATGCTCATTCATTAGGAAGAAGAACAGCATCACGAAAAAAATATCTTTGCAGTAAATGAAAGGGATTCTTTAGTATATGTATTGGAAGAACTGCTTAAACGAGCTACTATCATCTGCTGAAAGATAACACTATAGCTGTAATACATTATTATTTTTGTTAATAGTCTTACCCAATACCCACTCATAGTGACGTTTTTTCAGTTTGCCATTCTTCTCACAAATAAGCAAAGTATTGCTGCTGTTGTCAGCAAGTAAATCAGTCATTCACTCGTGGGGAGCTTGCACATAGTGTTTAATTGTTATATTCAAAATCTAATTATTGTTTAATAAATGCTATTATACTAAACAGCCTGCCATTTTATTTCATTCATTCAAGCTCGATATTTAAGTATAGCATTGTTAAATAAAGATAAGTTTAATTAGGAATTTCTTTTCTTTTCTTTTTAAGCAGATATTGTTTCATTCAAAAGTTATTTTACAGTGACATTAATGATGAAAATGCTAACACACTGAAAGACCAGAGAGATCCTCATTTGGAAGAAATAAAAAATTATATTGAGCACATGGGTGAAAAAGAAGTAGTTGAGTAAGTTGACATTTTGGTGATGAACTGTAACTTTTTTAAATCTTAAACTAAAAGCGTAGAAGTAATATTTTAATCCAAAAACTTACTGGGTCTGAAGGGCCGACAAAATTTCTAAAGTCCTGTGGGGTTTCTTCTTTTGTTGGGCCCATAATTTCCATAGCCACACATCCGCCTGATGTCATTTCATTTATGATATCCTAAAAACAACTGACCATCCTTTTAAACCATTTTAAACTATTTATTTCAAAAAATGTATCTCTTATTACCGGATATTCTTTTAAAACTCCTCTGTAGACTTCAAGGAATTCTTCTGCGTGTACATGGTCTAAATAAAACATTTGCATTGCTGTAATCATGTAGCCTTCTTTCTCAATAAAATTTATTATGTCTCCCAAATATCCTGTGAAAGGGTGAAAATTGTAAAAATTTTCACATTTTTAGTTTTATTTATATTTATTTTTTTTTTTTTAAATCACCTTCACGAACTGCATGCGGTTTTACTACACAGCAAGTGGTGTTAACTAGAACACAAGTATCAGTTGTGGTGCTGCTTAGAGGGGCATCATTGCCAAAAAATGTTTCTAATTCCTGAAAATTTGATAATTTCTTTAAAACAAATTTGAGACAAAAAATTAAGCTCAGAATTAAATTTAAAAAAATGATTTGAGACATAAAAACATTAACAGCATACACAAAGGAACAAGCATTAATTTCTTTATTTTTAATAGATGATTTTTTTTTTTTTAATTAATATTGAAGGAGACAGTTTTGCCTTATTTTAAAAAAAAACTATCCATGAAATGTACAAACTTCATTTTTGTATTTCAATTTGCAATTTTAGGTATGAGCAGGCCAAGATGTTATTGTGCCGATATTTGCTGTAAGTATTAATAATAATTGATTTCAATTAAATCTCCTAAATATTAGTTTCATTTTTAAATTGTGCAAGAGAGTGTATTTTAAAGAGTCATAACTTAATTATTAAATATATTTTCAGTCTTGCTTTTGCACTTGATACTGCACGTTCTCAGCATAATAAATACCCCATGATTAATCAAAGTGAGCAGACAAAAACGGCCTTATAAGTTCGCACCTTCAATGGTAAATGAACATTTCTGGTCCTATCGTATGTGTTTAAAATTAATCAACGGCTTGTTCTGTTAGAACTTTCGTCTAAATGGGCCAAACCGTTTGACTTATAATTGAGAAAACAGTAACGCAGACGACCTCTGTTGACAATTTGAGTGTTACAAAAATTATATTTGTAACTGTATAACTGTAAAGTTTTTCAATTTTATTATATATCATGAAGATTGTTTCATTATATTATCAAGTTAGTGGATAGCAAATAAACTAAATCTTTTGTAAAAAAAATATACAAAAACTTTTTTTTAATACTGCATCCTGAACCAGTAACCCTCAAAAATGCTTTACTGTTTGAACATTTTGTCTTTAATTAATATAATTGTTTAATTTATTCTAAAATCAATTGTAGTGAACTTACATGCTCGGCATCTTCTTGGGAAGGAGAACAATAGAACCCATTTCTCATTTCGTCAAAACCGAAACAAGCCCTTATACTTTCTGGATTTTCGGTTCGAGCAATTTCTGGATTAGAAGGGCCAGTTAATTCATTCAGTTTGGAAACTCCATAGTCGTTCAAAAGCTCCATTGCAATAACCGGCGATGAAGTCATATGGGCAATCACAGCACTGATGACACAAACATAAACAACAAATAAATGTATTTTCTATTGTAATTCTACTTAATAAGATGTTTCTCTTACGGAAATGATAAACTGTCTTTATGGTGGCTGTAAAGTTTTTTAACTAAGTCTTCAGTCATGTGCAACATTCGTAACTTACTCACTTTGAAACCGTGCTTTGTGAGCATTCTTATTATCGCACCTTTTTGATTTAGAGCTTCGGGTTTAATTATACCTAAAGTCCTAGACAATAATTTTTTATTTCAATGATTTATAGTAAAATTTAACAGAAAGTTGAAAATAATATATTAAAAATCAATAAACACCTTTGCATATTTATTCCCATTACTTTTCTCGTGTAATCATTGCCATAATCTGTTATTTTAAAATGTCTTGCAAATATTTTCATCGTATTGCCCACAAACATATCTTCTGGTGTGATATTTTCAACATTGGTCCTCCGTAAAAACTGACGCTTATAGTCGATATCATACTGAAATAACTTTTAATTAATTATCTGTCAACATAATTGATTCATATACTCACCAAGGCAATGGAATGATCAATTGGATAGTAAAAAAGGATAAATTTTCTGATTCGAAAGGACTCCGGTTCAAACCATTCAGCTAGGAATGCATAACGGTCCATGTTGGTAATAACAGGCTGAAAGAAAAAGAAAAACCAATTAAAAAGAAAGAAGAATAAACAATATACTTTTAAGTCCCCTTGAATAACAAAACTACATAATAGAGCTGTATCTGGACTCATGTCGAACACAAATACAAAAGGGAAATTACAATTACAAAAATATAAACATGAACTAAAAATGTACTGTAATAAAATTAAAATGGACAGTTAAGTTTAATAATGCAAATAATGTATTAATAATTTACCAATTAAGGCAACTGGTGGTAAGTTGCAATGTCAGGAAGCCATCAAAGCATCAAATAGATGCGACTTAAATGTGGAAGGGAAGCATGGCAAGTAGACCGAGAAAGGGGATTCCAGAAGTTGGATGAATGGATGACGAAGGAACAACTGAAAGTGGTAGTTCTGGGTTTAGGGAGTCAGAAGATCAAGTATGAGTTTGACGGTAGTGTACCAAAGACCTAAATTTTAGAAAATCATATTTATAGGGTCGGGAATGGGGAGATATGTTTGGTAACAGAAGTACATCTTGTGGTGGGAACTGGGAAGGGTATACCACTTCAAGCCAGAGCACGTATCAGTCATGTTGGATCTACTGTTTCCTACAAAAGCATTCCACTGTTTGAATTGTAAGTAATCGTGCTTAAGTTTATCATCCAGGTCCCCAGTGTGTCCCCTATACACAACACGAAGTCAAAGTGGGGGAGAATAAGAGAGGAGACTAGGAGTTAACAGGTACTAATGAGGAGAATGTACTTGTGATGAAACAAATGGACAGTGGAAAAGCTGATGTGAGATGGACAAATATGAGGTTTCCAAGATAAAGGCTGGTTCAGGACAATCCCAAGTTTCTTGACAGTGGGACAGAAATTAATAGAGTGATTGTTAAAGGTAACTGGAGTAATAAAAGGTAAGTATTGAAGAAGGGAATGGAATACAAAAACAATAGCCTGGGACTTTTCTACCATTAAGGTTAAGCCCATTTTCAGTTAAGTTAATTAAGTCCCCCTGAATTCTTACAATTGCAGCGTGTAAGTTAATATGTGGAAAGAAAAGGTGAATTTGAGAGTCATCTATATAAAGATGATGGGAGCAATATATGGAATTAGGGAAGTCATTAATGTTGCAATAAAAAAGAGAAGCAGAGATATTTGATTCTTGAGGGTGAGAGGATGGGGCGTATCTGGGACGGATATTACTTGGTACAATCTAAAAGGAAAATTGAAACAAATGGAGGAGTCTGAGGGGGAAGGATAACATTTCAAGTTTAGCAAGTTGACTCTACTTACAAAATTTTAGTGTTCAACTCTTTTCAATATAGAATTATCGTAGATATACAAGGGCTACATTATAAGAATATTAATTTAGTAAATTTTGTATGTAAAACAAGCCAATTTTCCCCCATCAATAAAGCAAAACAATTCCTCTTATAAAACCAAAATGTTGATCGTGTTTCACTTTATGCTGAAATAATATTAAAATACAATTTTTCAAGACAGGCATGTTAGAGTGACTGCAAAGTCTATTTCCATTTATCTTTCACCAGTCTTGAGAGAATGTTTATAAAATAGTATTTTTATACTTACAGATAAAGTTTTATCCATGCTGAGAAATATTAGGCTATTAGACAAACTATTCTGATAAATAGAATTTGCATGTAAAACTTCTGAAACCTTGGTTACGGATTTTAAGAAGGGTGGTAGTTTAAAATTTTTATACCAGTTATATAAAGTGAGACCTATAGTCTTAATTAAAACAAAATCTTTTGCATCCAGATATTTTTAAAGAACATAGCTTAATCCAAGACTGTTTCCTACAAAAGCATTCCACTGCTTGAATTGTAAGTAATTAAAAAATATGAAATATTTTTAATCTCCAAACCCCCCCCACGTATGAACTATAAAGTTCGTTGAGACTTGTCAATCTAATACATTGGCAATAGAATTTGTAGAAATACATATCAAAGAAAGAAAAATATATTCTCTAAATAGTTACTTAGACATTTCCAATTTTTCTGGTTTTCCAGACAATTTTTAAAGATTTGTGCAGTCTAAAATAAAATTCCATTTGTCATGTTGTTTCATACTCTTAATTACATAAATAAACGAATGGGAAAAATATTCTAAAACCCAAAGATTGTGAAATGCCAAGGCTACTCGAATGACTATGAGTTCAACACATAGATCTTAAGAAGACAAAGCAGTAGGGCAAAACAAATTCATATTAAAAACGGCATTAAAGAAGAGGGTAGGTAACATCAATTAAGTACCGAGTTCAGAAACAAAGTAATTTGATAAAATAAATTTACAAAATAAAATGATGGAGGAGGACCATGTAGGGCATTAGTGTGCCCAACTCGTATTTGTCTCGTTAACTGTTCTTGGGTGCAAATCTAGGCACATCCCTTGAAACTTTACTCGAGAGTAATTTTCAAAAAGTATTGTTGAGACATTAGACCTCTCATTCTTGGCAGCCAATGGGTAGTTTGGTGTTAAGCCTTCTAAATGACAGCAATGACTACATTTAATCAAGATAAATCCATGATAATTTAATAGCAGAGTATAGGTAATTTAATATAAAAAGTAAAGTAATTCTTGTCATATGGGAGAGCTTAACACCCAACTATCCGCTGGTTGTTGCGGGCGACAGGTTAAACCACTTTACAATACTTCTTTCATACTACTCCCGTTAAAAGAAGAAAGAAAAAAACAGGTTGTGCAGGTGCACCCTCGATCGCTAGCTTGGCAAATTCAATCAAATGCCCTCAACACGGTTCCCATGCATGGTAGTTTAGTGTACAAAGGTATATAAATTTTACATAAAAAAATTCATACAATAATACACATTTAGTGACTGTTAATTACTGATTATTGAAACATCATAAGATGTGGTCTGGTGTGATGTAGGATAAAAAAATAATAAGTAAAATAATGAAAAAAGGATTAATTAGTAATGAATCTATTAAAAAATGAATTAGAAAATCCTTGGAAAATTCATAACAGTATACAAAGAAAATTAATCAAACGTTTAATAGTGAGTAAAATAAGTCCTTTCTTGTCCTGAAGGTTTAAGTTTTTGACTAACTGTTGGGTGACATGAACATGTGTAATCATAATAAATTCAGGGATGAAGCCGGTTAAGATGTTCATTTCAAATATGTAGGTAAATTTTGAAAATTTGACTGCCTAAGAGATTTAGACAAAATGTATGAAAATTTCTATCCTGTAAGTTATATTACAATTAATTAAGGTTTTTAGTTGAGATAAAAAAGTTAATGGCAACTTTTGAATTTTCCCTCCTTTGAAAAATGGCAAATAGAGGGAAAATTCAAAAGGTGGGGTTGAGATGGGAAGTTAGTGTCCGAGTGGATCGAGGTCACATAGCTCAAGTGGTAGAGGAGCGGCGTATCTAGCCGAAGATCGTGGGTTCGAATCCCGCTCGTGCCATTGACTTTTTTATCTCAACTAAAAACCTTAATTAATTGTAATATATTAATTGGTCAAGCGGACCACGAAATTAGTGAACTTAAGTTATGCTGTTCAAATAATAAAAACAAAACAAGTGAAATTGTTGTAAATTTCATAATTGTAGCAGGTTTAGCGATATGGTAAGCAAAATGTAGGGTGACAGCGAATCAGTTGGGTAAGAAAACCTATTTTGCATAGATAGTTTGTACAAGAAAGTTTATTTTGTGGGTTTTGAACAAATTAAATTCCAATGTTTTTATTTATATCGATTAATGGTTATTATGTTTCATAACCATTTTTTATATTTTAACTTGTTAGGGTTTATATATAAGAAATTTATGATAAAAAGGTCAATGTCATAGATTTATATCAGATAAATAAAAATATAAAAAACAGTACCAGGGAAGAATTTCAAAGATAATCATGATGATCAGTAATTAATTCTAACATTTCAAGTTCAAATTGAGAAAGATTCAAAGTTGAAGGACATTCTTGAGAATTTTATAACACTAAATAAAGAGAAGCTCATCAAAAATTAACAGTTAGATAAGAGAAATTAATGGTGAAACCAGTTTAATAACATCTATTATTTAAAAAAGAAAAAATTCTAATAAAAGATATTTACGTGAGTTTAAGTAAAATGGATGAAATTTTAATTTTTTAAGTAATGGACAGAATTTAACAGTAACAGAACCTGTAATTGGCCTGTAATGATCATTTTGGTCAACATATTCTCGCTGGTTTGGTCTATCGCGTTTCGGCATTTCGTCATCTTCAGCATTGGGTGAAATGTTGTAAGACAAAATCTAGTTTTTATTGTTTCTATTTTGTAGACTAAATCTGACAAAGCCAACATGGTGTATTTACAAAATTTTATCGCATAATCCAGGTACAGAGAATGTCAAGAACTTAGAATAATTAATTTTTGACAAAAAATCTTTGTTTAAAAATGAGATTCTTTGTTGATTTTACATCACCTAAAGAATTAGCAAAGGCCTGCTTCTGACCGAAACTTACTTTTTAAGCCTCAGAAATATAGAGTAAAATCTTTGACCCTAACTGTTCTCACTTTACAGTGTACATCAGTGGGTTTTTATTTGTAATGATATACAAGCAAATTATTTTCTAAAATGAAAGTTATACAGCAAGCTTTGAATTTTGGATAAATGGATGGGCAATTTTATCAGTGTCTCTTTTCCATAAATAGAATTGATATATTTTTTTAAATACTATCTTTTGATGTGTTGAGAGCTCTGACGTCCCAAACATATCTGAAACCAGATGGGCTCAATAAGTTTTTGCGCTGTCAAGTACAGTTATATCCCAACATGTATTTACAAAATTTTATCTGAATGAAATAACTGTATTTTTTTAATTTAAATACTATAGTTTATGTTTTGAGGATATTAGAGCTCTGATGATGTATCCAAAATCAAGATCGTTTAATAAAATTTTAGCGCAAAGTCCAATTATATCCCTAAGATAGCTGCGTATGTGACATTGTGTGATTACAACGTTCACATGTAAGGCTTTAAGGTTTGTTTTTAGGTGTTTGGGGTCTTCTAGAGGGTCTTCTCAGCATTTAGTACAGTATTTAGTGACCATTAATTAATGATTATTTAGAGAACAAGACCACATATCACAATCTCTAAATAATTTTCACACTGTTTAGTCATAAATTTGTAAAAACGATACTTCAAACTCTTCAAAAAGAATACAAGAGGCATAGATGAAGAAATGCATTTGTGAATTGTTCTCTTAACTGTGGGGGGAAACATTTTAATAATTGACATACCTTTTATACACTCACAAAATGCACGTTTACACAAAATCCTGCAAGGATCGGTTCTTCATTCATTCAAATAGTTCCAGTCGTCAAAACGCTACGTTTACAACACAAAAAGTAACCAGAAGAACAGCAGAATGTTTTGAAGAAAATGTTTTTCTTCCTATATTCTTTTACCACAATAAATCTATTTTATTATATTAATCGTAACCTTGGCTACATTGGCGAAAATTTCGTTATTTGAGGGGGTTTTTTATTGCAGAATTTTTGTCCATTTTTGTTACAATGGCGGAAAAATAACCATCACTTTAATATTATTTTTAAACATATAAATTAGAATTTTAAAAAAATTTCTACTTACTAGTCTGTCGAAAGACATTATTATTGTTTTCTATTGCAATTTAAAAGCGACAGTACTTTTTCAATAGATTAAAAAAAAAATTAAATAAATGAAACAGCTACAACTAACAATAATAAACTAAAGAAATGTTTGGTGTTTTCTCTTAAGAAGAGAGGTTTCTTGTTGTCCTTAGCAACGAAAAAACCAAAACAGCAACACGTTTCTAGCACCTTGCTGGCAACAAAACAGCTGCCACGAGCGGAAGTCGACCATGGAATCTTGTCGTAATGGACATTGGCCTTTACACTTCTTCCACTCTCCGAAAATTAAATATACGATGGGATGTCTATAACATTTGGCTGTCATTTGTACATATGGTTTCATATTAAATTTGAATCAATTGAACATTAGTTTTACTTTACAGGGCGAACACGTAAACTTAACGTAATTTTCTTGTCATACAAATGTTTTATACGGTAAAAGTGGTAAAAAGTCCTTCTTCAATAGTTGTTCCGTATTGGCTGAAGAGTAGATCTAAACAAAATCTTCTACGGAATTTTTAAATAAATTTGAGAAGAAAAACTAATAGTCATACAATTGCTTACATAACAGCTTAACTAAAATTATTCCTTCCGAGCAAACCGGCTCGAATCGTTCTGTTTTTACAAACTTGGTAAAATGTTAACCTCTGAACAAACAACATGAACTCAAACATTCCAACTGATCATCTACCTCGATTTCTCTTGATTGATCGTGCGTCTTAAATTTTAATTTACAAGCTAGAGGGGCGGCTTGGGATTCACTGTACTTTCCTAAATTTCTTTAAATCATACCTCTCTTTCAGGAGTTCTAAGGTGTGGTCTTTAAGAAAAAATCCAAGCTTTTGACCTATTCGAAGGTCATCATCAGGGCAAAATCTGTTAATCTATAGACATATTTAATGTTGTTTTGCCCTGATGACTTTAAAATAGGTTGAAAGCTTGGCAGTAACAGAATTTGCTTTTTCTGTAAGACCATACCTTGATCCAGTGTTCGTGAGTGAAAAAATGGTCGATACTTCTAACGTTGAAAAGGAAGTTTTAAAGACAAAGTTGATCAAACATATTCTTCCTATCAGTTCTTAGTAAATTTCCGCAAGGATCGGTTCTGGGTGTAATACTATACGTCTTTTACATCAATGATGTAAATGACAAAATTATTTGTAAAATCGGTACTTTTGGTGACACCAAGCTATTCGCAAATCACTGAACTACAAATGAGCCTTGAGAAGATTTCTGACTAGTCGCTACTTTGGGGCCTTAATCTTAATCCTTAACAAGTGCTGTGTTCTACATCTGGGCTTTTAGGTTTGAGTGCACAGAGTGCACCAGGACACAGTACAGAGTAGAGGGTTTGAACCAGGTTTCGGATTTGGATGTGATGTGGGAAAAATTGTCAATATTCATGAAAATCACCATACCGTGCAGGAAGAGACTGGGCGTTAACGTGACCTGTTAGGATATTAGCCATAGCAGGAGACTATAGGAGATAAGAAGGAGGAGAATATTGAAGGGACTGACATCATGGTTAACATAACAAAATGATTTTAGTACAGTGAATTTTGTGAAAGTAACAGAATGTACGATTAGTAAAGGAAAAACACTTCTCTGAATAAAATTACCGAGAAGGAAAATGAGAAAATAAGGAAAATAAAATAAAATTTCGATGTGGTGAACAAGTAAATTGGCCACTTACAGTTTAACAAAAATAAAAAGAGTTAAACTAATCAATAAAAATAATGACTGTTCCATAGTGACCTGTTGTTTCATAAAGAATGTAATAAAAATAATAAAAAGCAATCATAGTAAGCCTTAGAGTTATCTTCGGACAAGAGTATTGGCAACCAACATGCTGAATTAGAGGGAATCTTTGAGTCGGAGAAACAACAAAACCGGAGTCAGCCGAACACGCCCAGGTCCTCAGCACTTTTGATGATAACTACCATCTTCCAAACCGTATATACTTAACTTACGTAACATAACTTGTACAACAGTTTAGTCGTTTCGGATCATTTTTTACGAAAAGGCTCAGAAAAATCTTGATTAAGTGGTAAGAGACTAAGTAGTAAGATACTGCAGCATCCTAGAACCTTGACAACTTCCAAATTAATCGTTGAGATAGAGAAAGTTTGTGTAATACTTGGTCAACTGAGGCGTTTTAACTATTTTTGTTTTAAGACTCATGCCAATGTCTTGTGAATGGCAAAACCAAAATTGAGCACGAATCGAGATCCGGTGAATTACAGTTATAACTGCTTATTGAGTTATGTTGGGTTAGATACCCTAAGTACTATTCTTTTTATTAAAAAAATATGTGTCTTGGAATAAAACAATGTTTTTAAAAGCATGATAAAAACAAAATGTCCTAAAATAACGAAATTATGATAATAAAATAAGTAACATGAGTACTTTCGGCTCCGAACTAGCGAATTATGCATCAACAACCTCCAGCGGCCAAGAAAAGTCCTTCAAACATAATGCTAGGACTTTGCCAGGAATCGATGGCAGCAATGAAAAATTATATAAACATTCTAAACGTGGCCTAGCACTGTACCCTTTGAGCTTTAGCAAATCGGCTTTAAATAAGTTAAACCAAATTGGGTCATAAGGCGCCCGGCACTGATGGAGCCTCCAAATAGGAGCAACTTGAAGCTAGCAGGAGTTTACAAATGAATGATCAAAGGTCCATTTAAACAATTCTCACTCAAGCAATCTTAAAATACTGACAGACCTTTTAAAACATTTCTTAAGTATACTAGCATCGAAACACGCAATTTATGTTGGAAGTCATTAGATAAAACCTTTAGGTCTTGGCCAGAGTCCGTTGTATTCTTTATTCTTACAAATGAACTAAATATCATGTATGAGACTTAGAAAAGGTCTTGACCCGAATTTTTGTAACTATTCTATAAATAATTTCAATGGAACTGGTATAAATCAATTTTTTTCGATGGGTTTAATTTTGATGTATAACTAATGTATGACAAAACTTTTTGTCTGCATGCACTTTTGTGACTGAAAAAGTTACAGCTAGTTCTGATTCATCTTTCACCTTTCACTTTATTATTTTGAAAGATGAGCAGTGAAAAATGTACCAATTAGTTGTATCGTAGCAGATAAAAATCAGCGATTATAAGCGGTTCAGGATGGTCGTCTACGACCTTGGTGGTATGGTCTAGCTTCAGATCTGACGTGGATATATCATAGCAGATAAAACCTTTCAAGAATAAGAAGCCCAAGATGGTCAAAGACTATCAACCTAAAAGTCAGGCGGGTTTATATCATGACAGACAAAAAAACCAACGAGTATAGGCGGATGAAAATGTCGAAGAACTACAGATCAGATTTGTCAGGTCAGAATGGTCGAAGACTATTTAGCTTCAGACCTGATGTGGTTATATTATAGCAGATATAACCTTGGAAGAATAGATAGACCCATATAGTCAAACTATCAACCTAAAAGTAAGATTTTGTTATATCATGACATACAAAAACCAACGAGTATAGGCGGATCAGGATGGTCGAAGACTATTTAGCTAAAAGTCCGGCGTGTTTACATCCCAAAACACAAAAAACCAGGGAGTATAGGCGGACCAGGGTGGTTGAAGACTATCCGACTACAGGTTAAACTTGCTTATATTATGGCAGACAATAAATAACGAGAATAGGCGGATCAGATTGGTCGAAGCCTATCAAACTAAGGCAGGCGTGTTTATATCCATGACCCACAAAAAACCTGCGAGTATAGGCGGACCAGGTTGGTTGAAGAATATCCAGGTTATATCACGACGGAAAAAATTAAGTAACGCATCTGACCGACAAAACCACCGGAAATGGCCATTGGGTGTCAAGTAAGAGGTCACACGTTTTCGGCATTTCGACAGACCCATCACTGAATGTGGCGTAATGCCGAAACCCGTATAACAGAGAAAAACCAGCGAGAATAGGCAGACCAGAACGGTCAATTAACAAGAAAATTCTTTAACCACATTGAATTAGGTATATCGAACTTTCTGATATTTGTAGTTGCTCGTTTCCGATCATTCCGGTTCATCACTCCTCAGCCCACAAGTCACATCTCATATTTCTATTTACTTTCATAATTTCCAAAGAAAGGCGTGTTTAAAATTATGCAAATAACTAGTAACATTTGTTTTATAGTTTGTTTTAAAAAAAATTTCTCCACCTTAGTGAATTATCTCTATGCACTCAAATTTAACAAATGAAAATGATAAATTCCATTCCTTCTAACAACCAGTTTATAGTTGTAGTTAATGGACAGTAATTGTGAGAGCGTCAAAGAGATTGGTAGTTTTTCTAATTGTTTCCTATTTAAAGTTGTGTAACATCACTATTTTTGGACAAACGACTCTCCTATAGTTCAGTTATTTCTACTTCAACTTACGACGAAGAATAACTTTCTAATACAAACTATTTTTTGTAGGAATCTCATTATATTCACAGAAGAGTACGTTATCAACTAATAAATGTTCATTTATTGAAGCGGGGTGAAAGATTAATGAGTAGCACATGCATTGGCCAGTTATCTTCTTACGAGATTAGGTCTTTAACGGGTGAGATTTGTCAGAAAGATAAAACGCAAACACAATAAACAATTTATTTCAAATACAAACATATATAATATAACATATTTTTATTAACATTGTACTCAGAAGAAATGAATATTTTTTACCTACAAGATGTCATTACAAAATATATAGTTGTCTCATAAAACAAAGGATTTTTTTTATTGTCAACTTTGAACATGGACAATAATTTGTCAATAACTGCTTAAATAGTTCAATTAAGTAAAAGAATAAAAGTTCCTAGGAATTCTAAGGAAAAAAATCTCTAATGGCAAATCAAGTCTACTTTCGTCTTGCTTCGACTTATATTTCTCGCGGCCTCGAAACACCGCCAGGCAGTCAAAATTTAAAAACTACCGAAATTTGATTAAGTACAACCAGTTTTGTTGTAAATAGTTTTATTTGTTGTGTTCTCAAGAAAAATCACTGTAATAACGAAGCATTTTCATGCGGATCATAAACACACAATTGTACTTCACTTTTCTTCAGTCTCTGTACTGATGTTCTCGTACGTCTTCTAAAATTAAAACAATTAAACAAGACATTCAATTAATATATGTACAGAAAAAAATAAGCTAGATTGTAAATATTACTGTTTCATTAATTACCCAATACAGATTATCTCTACCAAAGAGAAATAACTACCTAGCAAACTATTGCTTCAGAGTTATATTTTATGAGGGGAAAAGCTTGGACTGACTAGTTGAAGATTTCTCTCAAAAAGAAACATCTACTAGCTATAAATATGTATTGAAAATAATGCATCCAATATTAATCAGTGATTATTTATCATTAGTAAATTTCTACAATTAACCCACCTCCATTTTGTTTAAAAATCGACAAATGGACACCAAACGATATTCGTAAAAAAACACCGGGTCGTTGAGGCGACACCCCATTTCAATTAATTAATTATTTTTCCGTCAAAACCTTCTTCATGATCAGCATTTCAACCTGACGCCCCAGTTCGACAGGGGATCCCTTTTTTAGGATTTCCAGGGCATTTTTGTATTGTTTTGCTCCATTCAGAACAAACGATGCGAAAATCATTGTCAATCAATCATCAACAAATCTAAAAAAAATTTATTTCTGTTCTTTCTGGCGTGACGGTTATAGATTATGTTATGTTTTTTTAGTCATGGTTAACTGCACACGTCTATGACAGAATTTCAGAAAAAATTTATTTACCCTCGAATAGCTCATTAACAATCATAAAATTTCGAAAAATTATTTTCCATAAACTTGATTCAACTAGAGCTAGAACGATTCTCCTTATTTGGTGGTAGATCTCCTTTCGGGTTTGTAAATTTGGGCAAATCTTTTCTTTAAACATCCGACTGAAAGAAAATTGCGAAAACTCCACTATTTAATCTTCGATTTATCTTGCCCAATTTTTATTTTTGTAGGGGAGGGGAGTTTTTTTTTTTTTTTTTTTTTTTTTTTTTTTTTTTTTTTTTTTTGGCCTTATGGTCTAGCATATTGGCCAGAGGGGAGTTTCAATCTTAATATTTCACAAGAAGGCAGTCAATGAAGAGTATAAGATTAACGGATTAATATAATCTTTTACGACAGATAAAAATCGACCAAGTCGTTCATTGACCACTATTCAGTTTACGATTTAAAACACCAACTCAATGACATTTCGGTGAGTAAATTCTATATTATTGTTAGTAATTTATTATCATTTTACGTAAAAATTATAAATCAATTTGAACCATTACTTTGGTTAAATAGGACCAACTGAAAAACCTATGATTTAATAAATTAGGTTCACATTAAAAAATAATCATGAGACAATTTAAGAAATCCTGGATTACGGTGTCGGATCAAAACGCTAATAATTGAATTTGTATACTTAGAAAATTTAGAAAAACTGCTTCATTACGTTATCAAAAAAAGTTAAAAAGAAAGAAATAATATTAAAGGGGTTAAAACTCAATGACTGAAGTAAATACAAAATACTAACTTTTTAATTATTTTTATCAGCTTATTCTTAATTATATAATTACTCAATTAATTATACACAATTTTTTCGAAATGAAAAATTTGTGTATAAATTAATTGAACAAATACATAATATTGGCATATCTTGGGACAATAAAACTTGTAATTATAATATTAAAATGAATAAAAAATTATTTATTTACATTATCGTTTGTTCTTCATAAACAGTAAATTTCTTAAATTGTTTATACGGTATAAATTATAAAACATAATAAAATATATGCTGTTATTTGTAGTTTACAACAAAACTAATTACAGCTGTAGTACACAAATTATGAAAAAAGGTCATGTGAAAGTTTATTTATTTAATTACATATTCAAAAGTAAGAACTAGATATCTGATTTGAATTAATTATCAGGTACCATCTAAATTCGTGCAACATGCAAGTTAAAAAAGAAATACATCAAAACCAATACTCACCGTCGACTAAATAAAAATATTATTGCGAGACAGCGTTTGGGTCATATTTAACATTCGGATGTGGCATCCGCTCGTTGGCACCTTTTTCTGTAACATTTTCAAATTTCTCTCCTAAAGAACAGGCTTTTTTTTCTGAACGCTACTCAACCCTTTGCTTATTAATTTAACGAAAAATTGTTTACAAAAAACCTCTTATTTCTTCTCAAAGTGCTCTGGAAAATACCTACTCCACGGGACTAGGTGATTCTGTTTGTAAATCGATAATATTGAAGACGGCTATTGATTGATCACTTGTTAAAAATTGTACTTCTATAAAAAAAAGGACGTATTTTGATAGTTATCAATCCCTTGTTATCTTCTAATGATCTTTTTTTTAAAGTATTGAAATTGTTTTCCATTTTATTTCTAAGATGTGCCTCTACTTTAACAGTCACCAAACTTCGTTCATTTTGTACCTCTAAAGTACTTTTAACATGTTCTGTTTGGATTAAAACCTATTTGTCAATTAATATATTGAATTTTTTAAAACTTAAAATAATAAATATAGACTAAATTGGAAAATATCATCGTCTGCTACAGAGCTGGACGTCGTCAGAAGCACCCAAATTGTGCCGTCAATGTCCATCACGCATTGTTTTCTCCTGCGGCCCGATACGTGTTCCATCTTCGATTTTTAGCGTTCGTTCATGTGTAAAAAAAATATCGGGTTTTATTGTTTAATCGACACAAATATACTTGCCAACGATCTTAACATTAAAAGAAAACAAGATAAACAACACGGCAATACTACATACAATTATATAACACTATCATTGATTATAATGGAAAAGATTTGATTGTACGAACTAACTTATGGTAATGCAAATCAATGAATACGCCGAGTGACAACCGTGTCTCAAATATGCTACATACATTATTTATGTATCTGTTGTTCTTCGGTTAAGGTCTAACTATCAGGCGAAAGTTGGATTTTCGCAATCAGTCTTGACATACTTTTTTTCTACGAATTTTACGTTTCAGGGTAAACCTTCATAGATATTTTTTTAAATAAAAACTAAGGACAGAAACATACATGCTAAATAGTGCAATTACGATAAAAACAAAACGACAAATTGTTATTTCTATAGTAGTACTTTTCAAAGTTTATGTTGTTACTCGTGCAAATCGATAGGGTGTATAGAAAGACAAGATACTCACGCCAAAGGAGATAATGTAGTTTCTCTCCCAGAAAGTACATAAGTCCACCGAGTGTGAAACAACCGACGAAAAACCCTATCCTAAGGGGTACGTTAAGTTTCTCGAAAATAGGGTAAGCCCAAACACCACTTTTATAATGGACAATGTGCATCCTGGTGGAAAAAAAACATAAAGAAAATAAGTACAATAATGAAATTCACTCAACAAAGGAAATCGCGGAATGTATCTGTAGTGTGATCGTTTCCGATCAGTTTGGTCTGCCTACCTTCGATGTTTTGACCTGTCAGACACGTTTCGACATTTCGTTATCTTTAGCTGTTTGGTCTGACAGATCAAAAAAGTTATGATCGGAACCGAGCAAACTATAGGTCGATCACCCCGCAGATCCAAGAAAATTCCTCACAACGTCAAAAGCGACGTCTTTTGTCATGGAATGTTTCATTGTTGTTAAGATTGTTTATTGGTACTCTCTCTCAAATTATGAAATAAGCTTAATAATAGCATTTTACTTAGCAAAAATTTTTTAAGTTATAAACCATGGTTTTTCACTCTTACCATATGAGATATGTCGAAATAAGCTTAATAATAGCATTTTACTTAGCAAAAAGTTTTTAAGTTATAAACCATGGTTTTTCACTCTTACCATATGAGATATGTCGTCTGGAATGTCATTAACCCTACAAGGGCGTGCTTTCTCTGAGGATAGACTCTGGTCGACGTGATGATCTCAAGGAACTGAAATATCAAAATATTCGTGTGCATCATGTGATTGAGCCATGACGGGAAATAAGGATCCAACGCAGCCGGCAAAACCAGCTCACGGTCTACTGCCATTAGCCCCCAGAATGTGACGCCGACAAACTGTCAAAAATATGATTCTACATTATCCAAAAAAACAGTGGATGTAATAAAGCTCCACACCATTGCAATGGGGAATGCGATCGATGCTTCCACATAGTCCTTGATCCTGACGAGGACATTCCGTTCGTTTTGGTCATTTTTCGACCCCCAAATGTCTATGAATACACACAGGGAAAAGTAGCAGGCTTGTGTTACCTAAAACATAAAAATACATAAATAATTCAAGAGCTACATTCAAAATGAAAAAAGTTCCGAGTTTACAATTCCTAACTACTCTTAAATGATAGAAAAAAGAGTACAATTTTCAATCTGAAAACATTTAGTTTATAAGGAAAATACGAACCCCTCTCAAATGTCTGCATGAATTTGGTATTTGAGGCGAATTTGAATGAATTTGAAAAAGAAATCGCATAAATAATTCGTACATCAAGTTCAAACACCCAAGTATCACAGTACCCACTTTTTAGTGCGTAATTTTTATTTAAAACTATCCAGTACCCAAAATATTTTTTTGAATATAGCCTAAATTAAGAGCAAATGATATTTGGTGTTATGTTAAAAAAAAATATTTTGCTTTTGGGTTTTGTTTTTCACGTCGGATGGCGAGGAAAACGTTTAGACTGATTTCCAATGGGAAATATAATTTTTAAATTGTGTTAAGGGGGAAAAGGAATATTTCTTCCAGCATTCGAAGTCATTAGAAATATTTCTCCTCAGACTTGTTCGTCGGAGTTTGGAGATAATTTCAATTTTTAATTTCGGTGGCCCTTGGACAAGGATTGGATTTTAATCATAGGAAAAAGATTAAAAGTTGAAAAGACTCACCGCATCCCAAAATGTTAGAAATTTTAATTTATATCCATAAGTTCCGTAAAGGGGCAACACTTCTTTTGGAACTACAACATACGTCCAGTCGTAGTAGCAGGCGTAAGCGAAGTGCAAAGCACCTAAAGCATGAACCGAACAGCTTAGCGTACTGCAAGCATTACTGTAGCGTCTGAATAATTCGACTTCCATTTCTCACCAGACTGTAAAAATTTGATAATTTCAATAACGTAAAACACCCAATATTATCGGAAAGATTATCATGACAGACAATTTGTAATAAATATCTCCATCGTACGACGTTTTGGACAAGAAACCGCTCAATTGTCTTGAATATAAGCCTAGCTCGCCCTTGAGTTCTATAAATGGGTTTCGGACTAATTCAGAATTGGTTTTAAGAGGAAAATTAAAGCTGAACAGACTCACCGCATCCCAAAATGTAAGAAATTTAAATTTATATCCGTAACCGTTATGAAGAGGAGAAACTTCCTTTGGAACTATGACATAACGCCAGTCGTAGTAGCAAGCGTAAACGAAGTGCAAAGCACCGAAAGCATGAACAGAATAGCTTAGCGCGTTGTAAATGTTTCTGTGCCGTCTGTGCAAGTCGACTTCCATCGGTCACTTGGTTGATAGTTCGCCTGTCTGACTAACGACTGAACGGAGAATATTAGTTACATCAGAGTCCTTGTCCCTCTATTCATATCGCCGTCGAGCTTGTTTTAGCGCCAGCCGTTTGAACATCCCCCACCCCCGGTTTTAATTTGCCTGGATTCTCTTCAAATTTACATTCCATACGTTCTGTGTGCAAAATAATAATTAATACATCACTTGAATGGCACTGTTTTGCAGACTGTCACCGTGCCATCCCCACTTTTTTCTCATTGATCGCAATGCCAGAGGGAGGTTCGTCCACCTCTTCCGTATTTGCCCACCTTGCATTTCCATTTAAATGAAAATCGGAACGAATTAATGGATGATTGGCTCTTCGCAAAACGGCTATTTAGTTTCAATCTCTGTAGGTGAAACCGACCGGAATACAAAGGAAGTTGCTTAAAACACTGAACAGAGCTTAAAGATATTCATGAATGAATAGTGTTCGCAAAGGGCTGCTCCATGTGACAGGCCAAAAATTAGCTCTAAATCCGTATCTCAACGAAAGGAAAATGTAAACAATACAGAAATAAAACCCCATGAATAAAAGATATGACAAATTGTAACTTATTCTCAATCATCTTAATAAACATTCACACTCTCTCTCTCTCACTCTCTCTCTCATTCTCACTTGCTCATTCACTCTCTCCCTCTCCCTCCCTCTCTCACTCGCTCTCTCTCTCTCTCTCTCTCTCTCTCTCTCTCTCTCTCTCTCTCTCTGGGGGGAAAGTGGGTCAAAATTAATTAAAAATTCACTAATTATTAATTTTCATAAAACCCTTTAGTCTTTCCCTCTGGTTCATTAAATATGCACGATCTACCTTTCGACCAAAAGACTTCGGTTCAATTATATCTGAACTTCTATTTTGCGCCTTCTTACTTTTACTTTAACAAAATACATCTGTTAGCTTCAATATTTATACATAGGTAAAATTGTTATTATTCAAGCTTCAAAAATATATCCAATTCAGAGGATAAAACGTTACATAACTAAAAATTATATTATTATTATAAAAATGAACCAACAATGTACAGTCGATTGTCGTTTAGGAAAGAGTTAAAGAAGGGTTTTCTAAAGATATAGACTATCTACGAATAGAAATAAATTAGTATAATATAAAACTTTTTTGTCCAAACTAACAAACACACATTTTAAAAGCCTGAATGCTGATATTCCAGAGCAAAACAAAATCAAGGCTACATCTAAATCTAAAATTTAAAGTTTCTAATATTTATAATATGCCGTTGAATTATACATATAATTTTTTAAATTACAATTTGGTATTTTTGATGGGAAGTTCATTAAAAAGCTGTTCCGTTTGTCAGATGAGTTTCGGTTTTTCGCTATTTTCAGTGGCTGGTCACGCAACAGAACTCAACAGGAAATCTCATAATAATTCTTTAATAGAGGTATAATTTTGAAACAAAATAAACTCATTTTTATACAGAAACATTTCCAATTCTATGGGAAAATGATTTTTTTTTTTCCAATAAAAAAAATGCATTGTCTAAATAGGTAGTAAACAACAACTTTTTTCTAGTGCTCCCCCCCCCCTAGAGAGAGAGAGGGGGAGGGGGAGAGAGAGAGAGAGAGAGAGAGAGAGAGAGAGAGAGAGAGAGAGAGAGGGAGAGGGAGAGGGAGAGAGAGGGGGAGAGGGAGAGAGGAGAGGGAGAGAGAGAGAGAATAATTACGCGCGGGAGTGAGTATGAGGGAAAGAAGAAGATTGAGATAAGAGAGGAGAGAGATAAAAAATATTAAATAAGTGTTAATGAGAGAAAGAGAGGGAGTGATAGAAAAAGGGTGTTTGACTAAATGAATACTCGTGGGGAAGTTATGAAAGGAATGACTGAGAGAGATTGAGCAAATAGGGAAGCGACAGACGACTGTATGAGAGTGACATATATATAAATATACAAAGTGCACCCTTGACAAAGTTGACCAAACGAATAAGTTAATGGTTACTTGTGTGCGAATGTGTGTGTATTTTCAAACAAGGACGATAGAGTATGCATGAATGTCATTAATTTATGTATATAACTTATTGGATTTTCTGATAATTGTAATTACTACACACAAAGTAAGGATAATAACACTTGGCAATAATGAGAAATGGTAAAAACTAATATAATTGCAATTTCTTTTTCTAACGGATAAACCCAAAACTATACAACCGATCTTTTAGAGTTATGCAGGTGAAAGTAATTAACAAACGGCTGTTTATAGATAAAGGTGAATATATTATTAAAATATAGACACTCACGATGCTTAGATAAGATAAATATCTCGTTCTGTTTAGAATATAAAACGCTACACTCCCATCATAATAGTAATGAATCGGGTCTTCATTGAAAAAATGATAGTCGCATAATATCGTTAATAGCATGTGTCCTGCGCCTGAAAGATGAACGTAAATATCCATCCGTAATGCGTTGAACCGTCCTCTAAAAAAATTTTAATTGAAATGATATTATGGATTATCCACGTGAATTAATTATAAATTAATGGAACAATTTCCAAGTGGAGGTGCAAGATAAGCAATAACATGCGCTACAGGCTAAAAATATTAGTCAAACTTTAACGTGCACGGTTATCTTTCTCTTGGAAAGAAAGAAAAGAAAGAAACAGCCTCGATGATTACAAGGTTATCTCTCGAGTTGACCTTTTAAGAAACTTAAATCAAGTCAATTTATAGGCCTAAAGGTCATTTACTATCACAGAAATGGACGTTATTGATACTACTGTTTGTAAATTTTTTTATTGCTATTTTTAATCTCAACCTGATTATTCATTGATAATCACTTAAGTGTGGATGTTTTATTGATATGTAAATACAAATTGATATACAAACAAATAAATTTGGCGTTATAGAATTTTGTTAAGTAAAAAATACATATCTCGAGATCAAACGTGTTTCATAAGGAAGGACTTGTATCCATCCTGCCATTGTCGGGAAAATAAAAAAGATTGACCGTTAACATCATGTCAAAGAGAGGACTATGCTTTTTATGGCCCTTCCTATTTAGTCTAATAATAGATTTTGGAGGTTAACAACCCGTAGTGAAGGATTTTTTACGATATGCCATATAACAATTCGGAGGAAATGTCATTATCTAATCAACCGTTTGTAACGTTTGCAATTTATATCATGGGTTTGTGTAGTCGAATTAATTACTGGTGCAAATATAAGACGAATACGAGACATACATTACTCTTGTATTGAAAATTGAGACTTCATATATGAACAAACTTAATGAACGATAAATCTGTTCATCCTGATAGAAGACATCAAAAACACAAGTGGATTAACTCCTTTTTGCTGTTTTTGAATATTATTTTCATTTTTATGTTAGTTTTGTTTAACGAAATAAAAAAATTAAAGATTATTCATTATAATCATATGAATAATCATCGACTAACGGTCACTAATCACCACACAAAAAAATTAATGATTAACTAACGTAAATAAATAACGAACAATGGAATTATATTCAATTATTAATCTTTAAGTAAGGTTTTGGTTGAGATAAAAGTCAGTGTCACGAGCGGGATTCGAACCTATGACCTTCGGCTAAATACGCCGCTGCTCTACCACTTGAGCTATCGTGACCTCGATCCACTCGGATACTAACTTCCCATCTCAACCCCACCTGTTCAAAAAATTCAAAAGGTGACACTGACTTTTTTATCTCAACCAAAACTTTACTTAAAGATTAATTAATTGAAAAGAATTTATTTGGTCAATCGGACCACGAAACGTAATAGAATGGAATTATAATTGAAATTTGCAGATATCAACTAGAAAGAAAAGGCAGTATTTGCTGTTTTTTATTATTATTGATATTTTTGATCACTTGTACGAATAGAAATGATAGCAAAGGTCGCCACCTGCCATATATTACTATAATTAATTTTATTATTTTGATGAATTACTCTAAATAACCTTCATGAACAGTTTAAAGTTGATCATCCTGATGCAATAGAACTGGCAATTTCCGTTACATACGTATCATATCTTTCGTAATTGTTACTATGTTATCTATGTTAAACATAGCATAAATAACCAGTCTCTACCACTGCGTTTCGCTGAAAAATGACACAGTTTAAATCCGTTCATCGTGACACGTCAGTACTACTAGCCTCAGCCATTGGTCTTCAATAAAATTAATTACATTTGTTATTGTTATAATTATTACTCCTATGTTATTTGATGTTGAATTTAACATAAATAATTGTTTTCTATCAATATATCTTTTAAATAAAGGGAAAGCCGTTTACATTTTATCATAATGATACAGGATACGTAGCCATTTGCCTCTATACGTATAATCTCTTCATTTTTTGTCAATGTTATTTTTATTATTGCTGTAATTTTATGTTATATTTAGCGTAAATAACTGGTTGGTTCATTACGTATTTTTTACGGAGGGAGAACGGTTTAATGTTGGTCATCCTGATAATAGCAGAATAGGCCAGTCCCATTATAGACGTTTCATTTTTTTTCGGTTGTTATGTATCATTATTACTATGTTATCTATAGCATACATAAGCGGTTACGTTTTGCTGAAAAAAGGGCAAATAGATTAAATTTCTTCACTGATTCAGCATAACTAACCATTTGCTTTTTGTACATATAATTTCCTTTTTGTTGTTATATTTGCTATTGTTGTTATTTGATGCTGCATTTAGCATAAATAACTAGTTTGTATCATCATATATTGTTGGAACAATGAAAAACTGCTCAATTTGCTCGTCCTGATACAGCAGAAGTGTCCATCAGCCTTCGCTAGCATTATTTTATTTATCATAGTTATATATTATTGTTACTATGTTAGTTATGTTAAATGTGGCATAAATAACCAATTTCAATCATTATATGTTCTTGAAAAAGCTGAAACAGTTAACATCTGGTTACCCTGATAAAGCAAAAGTAGCCACTTCCTTTCTATACGTTTAATTTCATTTGTTATTGTTTCTATCATTACGTGTTTTGTTTGAAAGGAAAACAATCTAAATTCGTTCATACTTTTACGGCAGAAATAGCAATTCGGATATAACTTGGATTCTCACTAGATATTTGTAAAAAAAAAATGTAGTTTCTAAGGAGGTGACGCAATGTG